CCCTTATCTACTATTAAATGGCTGCCATTCTCCATGTGTTGTTTGCTTGACAAGTAGATAAGGTAGAACACATTTAGAATACTAATATCCTACATGGCCTTTGTGTGTGTGTGTGTGTGTGTGTGTCTAAAATTTTTAATAAATTATTTCTGATCCTTATATCTTTTCATGATATTTGTAGAAATTTCAGTGTATAGGAAGATAAACAAAGCCAGAGCTTGTTTTAATCTAGAAATGTTTCCAAATCAGTCACTCTCAATACTGATATTCAGAATTAAATTTCCCTTTCTCAGATTTCACCTTTACAATAATTCCCTACTTTCCATTTTTTAAAATTGAAATTTTTTTTTATTATTATCTGAAGAAACCCCTTGAGAAGTAGACCTTGTGGTAAAGGAGTGGGTCTCTCTCTGGGGCTTGGCCTTTTACTTCCACCTAACCCGGGAGCCTTTCTTCAGTCTACTGTTTCGTGGGAGAGTGCGAGGAATATGGCTGGGCTGAACTGCATCAGATGGGGGAGGGGGAGGAAACTGGGGATTGAACTCAGGGGCATTGGACCACTGAGCCACACTCCCAGCCCTATTTTGTATTTTATTTAGAGACAGGGTCTCACTGAGTTGCTTAGCGCCTTGCTGTTGCTGAGGCTGGCTTTGAACTCTTGATCCTCTTGCCTCATCCTCCCAAGCCGCTGGAATTACAGATTTGTGCCACCGCCTCCGACTTCAATCAGAACTTCAGTGTGATTTATAGAGGTGGTAAATAAGATGGTAGGCTGTCAAAACTGGACTGCCTCACCCTGTTCTCAAGCTTACTTTTTGCTTTTGTGCAATATAATACTTAATACCCCAAATAGGCATAATCTACAATAATTTTAGAATAAAGATATTTATACTAAATTAACATGTTAACCATCTCCTACTTATTTCTTTTTTTTTCTCCTACTTATTTCTGAGTTTAAATAAGTATTGTGTGAGAAATATGACTGAAGTATGTACCCTTTGCTTGCTCCAACATGTGCACAAAGAAATCTGTTTAAAAACAAATAATAGAGAAGTTTTGAGGGAAAAAAATCCTATGTCACTAAACTATATTCTTTAAACATTCCTATGTTTCCAGATATGATCTGTCAGGGAGACTTATGCATTTGGATCATCACCCCTCCTAACATGCAAATTGGCATTTTTCTGGTTGCAAGAAACAGCCAATTCCAGTTTATATAAATTCACTGATGCTGGGGTTGTATAAAAAACCACCACAAAATTCTGTGGCCTGAAAAACAATTTATTTCTCATAATTCTGAGAGTTGACAGAGTGGTTCTTCTGTTGTAAATGGTTTAAAGGTCACTTTCTCATATGCTTTCAGTTTGGAGTTAGCTGGGACCAGAAAGTCCAAAATGGTCTTTTCTCTCCCAGGGTTTCTTTTTATTGATCTCTCTCCATCAGTGGTATAGCTCAAACCTTCTAGAGGGGACAAGAGGATAAGCCCAAGCATACAAACACTCATCACATCTCTACTTGTGTAGTGCATGCTAAAATCCTGTGGCCAAAGCATATCACATGGTCAAACCCAGAGCCACCATGAAAGAGGACTAGACAAGAGGGGAATACCAGGAAGACTGCTTCCTGGCGGTCCCCAATGTAATGTTCTACCTTCCATACTAATAAAGGTTGTTGCAGAATTCACAAGATGCAAGAAAGACAGGAAGCCATCTCAACCAGTCACCACTCTTCTAGATATCCTCAGAGAAAATTGGAATGTGATTTGGGCCACTTAGATTTAAAGGCCTGGTTATCATGTCATGCAAGAGTAGCAGGTGCTTTTTATCTCCTGTCCAGTGTTGCATCAATGCTGTGGTCACTCAGCAGTCTGTCTCTGCTTCCACTGATCCTTGGCTGCCCAGCAGCTTCATTCTGCTTTCAACACTTCAAATGTCCTCTACTGACTCATACTTGCTCATGCTACTTTGACTCTGTTTGACCTTTGTCCTTGGTTCCTACTCTAAATGCTGACTCACTCTGTCTCCCTTTCATTCATGATCCTCATAAGAAAGGAATTTGTTACAACTTGGTTGGTCACTCTTCAGTCCTCTCAAGTAGTGGAGTCATCTCACAGGCTCCACATGGCTGCCTGCCTTTGTTCAGATGCCCACCCTGATTCTATTAGCCTCTGCCAGGATGGCAGGGTCAGTGTAGAAAGACTGAGCATGGAAGCATTCGGGGTGTTGTCTCCACCCTTCTGCTTAGCTAATTGTGATTGGATTTAGAAGTAGGGAAGAGGAAGGGGATTCCCTATCCTTTTAGAAGAACTAGTCCCTTTCTCTTCTAGTCCAGCCAGCCTTCCGTTTCCAGTCAGCTCTCTCATCCCTGAAGCTGATCCTGAAGACTGTCTCAGACACCTGACTGAACAAGAGTGGAACAGGTGCGTCGTCATCCAGGTTGTTACTCATCTCACACATAAGGTCTTACCATTAACCGTGTTTTAGCCTTTGTCTTAGAACTCTAATTACATCATTGTTTCATATTATACTATTTCTTTTCTTGTCATTGCTCTGCTAACTAAAAGAAATGTGGAAAAGTCAATTTCCAGAGATTTTTTTTCATGTGTTGTGAATATCTACACTTTGTCAATTCTTGTTTCCCACCTATCAGTGGTCTAACTTCAGTGTCAAAATTTTATAATCTTCTGAATTCAAAACATCCTTAAAATATTGTTTAATATTTTTATGTTTATTTATGAACTACCTCTAGAAGAATTCACAAAACTTGATAACAGGGACTATCTTTCAAGGGAGAAACTGGCTTCTGGTTGTTGCCTTTGCACTAAATAACTTTTTTATATTTTATGAATATTGTACCATGTACATGTATTGCCTTCTTTTAAAATCAGCTTTTAAAAATATGTCTTGTCTCCATTCTCCTAATTTGCTGTCCCTTTAAAAGTCCAGGGCCAGCATGTGGTAAAATTTCAGGATGTACTTTTCACATGGAATTCACTGTGCAGAGGCTGCTGAAGCGGTGCTATGAGTAACAGTGTGAAGATCTATAGATATTCAGAATCCATTAGCACTTTAAAAAAAATGTCAGTGATGAAGCTTGGTAATTCTTTTTGCTTATTGGCTGATTGCAAAGTAGGAGAATATAGAAGGGAGGGGAATGCTAGGGCCTCTCACAGTTTTCGGTGACTGAAAGCATCAGGACTTTTCAGAATTGGAGCTCTAGGTCTGGTACCTCACAATCCATGTGTGAGTCCTTCAGCATATGATTACCAGCCTAGTCCTTGGAGTCCTAATCAGTAAGTGGGATAATAAAATTTATCTTTGGGGGTTGTTGGGAATATGGGATAACCTGATTCATGGAGGACCTTCAGGGCAATGACTGTCACAGAAAAGTGCTCAATAATGGTAACCGTAGTGATTGGGGGGTTTTGCCCCTCATCTGTGAAATGGATATGATACCTGCTTTCCTGTTGTCTGGAGTTCTCATAAGTCTCAAATAAGATAATTAGCTATCGCACTCTAAGGAATGAAGATTTTGAGCTATTATCAGATTCTGTTCCATCATCTATATTCTGGTAAAACAAAACACCTGTTAATTGTTCACCTTTCCTTAGGCACTGTTCCACGTTCGTTACCAGATTTCTTGTAGAAACTCTACTATGAGAGATTCTTTTGGACTATACAGAAATATAGTCCTTGAAGCTTCTTACAATATACTATGGTCTGAAGAGATCCTTACAAATTCTTTAGTCCCATAACCCCAAACAACTTTTTTACGAGGTTCATTTTTAGTTGTACAGTTGAATAGATGTAACTGTGACTTTATTCATGATTTTTCTCTAACCTTCTTTCTACAGTCTCAGATTCAAATCTGTGATTGAAAGTATCCAGGCATCAACTAGGGATGGGCATTCATGTGCTTATTCTTTTGGGTAAATATTTCAAATATAAAAAGTGACTATTCTAGAGTTGGCTGCTGGGAAACACCACTCACAGTCAGGATGATGCCACGCCTACTTAGTTATACAGTGAGTGATGCCAGCCACTGATGGGCTATCAGAGCAATAGTGTGTCATCGGATGTCCAGTCACAGTCACATAAGCATATTTACTGGCTTGGAGAATGTAGATCATGTTGTGTGTGCAGTCAGCATTGGACCACCCATGTTGGATACTGAAGAGCACAAACAGAGCCGAAGGAAAATGGTAAATAATGCTTGGCCTTCCAATTCTTCTGGAGAGCTGATTAAAAAAAAATTAAGATAATTTCAACTTTCAATTGAGAGAAAAACAAAGTTTTTTTTTTTTTTTTTTTTCTTTCCAGAAACAAGAGTTCTTAAATAATAGGTCACCCTTTTCTCAGGCTCAGTGTGAATTCTTTGTCAAAACCTTAGGTTTTTCTTTTGAAATAAATAGTAAATAATGCTCTATGATTTAAAGTTAATTTGATGCAAAAGAAGTAAGGGAAGCTTTAATTGAATTTGTTTATAGTTATGAAAAGTTTATTAAAGATAGGTTTGTTATATTTATTTATTAGAAATTTGTTGAAGATGGGAGATTTTTTTTTCTGTTTCACAGAAAAAAACATGAAAAGTTGCTTTTAGTGGAGTTAAATGAAATATCAAAAGACTTTACTGTTTATTTTTACTCATGGTCATTTTAATAGAATATATGATTTTCAATATGAGGGTAAGTTATTTTCTGAAAATGACATAGAACTTTTCTCATTCAAGCATACCTTAAAATGTCTATAGCAAATATATTTTGAAAATCACAAGCTAGCATGCTTCTTAGCCTTAACTAAAAATAATATTACTGCTTCATATTGGGGTTTTCCATTTTAACATAATTACATAACATAAGTTAGTCTTTGTTCATGATTCACAATTAAGGGGGAATGGCCATTAACTTCCAAGGTGAAGTAAAAGTAGATATGCTCTGGGTGGGCAGGGCGTTGACATCATTACTGAGAGGGTGAAGCAGTGGTTTTTCTTTGTGAGACATTCAGAGCACATTACTTTTACTGAGAGAAAGCTCAGTTTTCTGCAGCTGTATTTGATTTTTCAGTTTGATTGAGTGCTGGGGACTTAATGCTGTCCTTGAGCATTTGGGTTTTCACCTATGAGGGCATTCGTAGGAGGAGTGTGTGACTTTCCGTGGGTAGGATTCAGAGGATGGGCTAGACCATTGCTTTGTCCTCCCTAAACAGAGCCTCTGCTAGAATGATCTTGTGGCTAATGGTGCAGTTAACTTACAACTTCTGAGGAGAGACCACATCTTCAATTACAGTTGTTCATGGACTCCCTGCAGTGTGAAGATTTATTTACTCATGTCCCATTAAGTAAGTGTTCTCTCAATTTTTCTTAGAATTTTGAGTTTTTACTTATCAGATGCTGATTTCATGCACTATTGTATATTTCATGTATACATTGAAAAAGTAAAGATAGTGCATTGATACTTTTCTTTATGTAAAGTTGTCTTACAGTTTTCTCTATTTTGAGGATTGAATAGTTAAGGCATCAAAGCAAAGTAAATAATAAATGAAGAACATAGAAGTAGTATGTAGTGGTTGAAGATCTTACATTATTACAATGCACTAGTACAAATTTTGGAAAGTATTTGAGTTTTCCAGTACCTGTTCAGAGAGCTAGGTACTTGAATAGAATAATCTGGATTAGCAAGGCACAGGAATCAGGCAGATATGTCCTTTGTGTCTGAGTTTTATTCTACTATAGTAAGATATACTTGTTTTGTTGCTGTTTGTACCATTTATTTTATTGTCAGAATAAATGTATGACTTCAGAATTAGCATTTTGACAGGAAAATCACTAGAGACCTGAGTAAACTTGATTGAATGGAGAGATGTTCTTTGGCACACAAAGAAAGGCATTCTGGTTTATATTTTGATCACTTTTCTATTCGCATCTCATTTATTCCTGGACATGAGAATTAATAGATCACAATACAGAAAGATACGTTTCCTGGTTCTTAAACAAAAACCCATGATGTGGATGTTTTGCAACATAATATTTGTAATGTTTTTAGCTTCAGTTTTTTTCTTTGTTTTGCAAGAAGTGTCCTCTGATAGATTTAACCAAGTGTAAATTAGAACTCAGCTGCTAGCAAAACACATTATCAGCCTTGTTTATTTTATTTTATATTTTTGCATTTAAGCTTCATTCCATATACAGACATGATATGACAACTAATTATAATCATATTGATTAGATTTTGGTTTTCAAACCAAAGAGTATAAATATAAACATAAATATTGCTTTGGGTAGCCTATGGTCAGAGTATCTAAAGACAATCTCAACTTCAAAGATATTGTCTCCATTGTGTTCTTCTTTCTTCCTTTCATCCATTCTTTTCCCCTAGAAATATGTTTATATCCTTTCATGTTCTGTGACATGTTACTGTGACAGGTGATGGGGATGTACTGGGAAACAGGACAAATATACTCCTAGCCCTGAGGAGACTTGCATATAATGAATGGGAAAGATGAACATCATAAAAACACACAACTATAAAAATAATACAAATTATTCAGTAATTAAAGTTATAAGAGTTGCCCCAGTTTGTGATTATAATATTTCTCCTAACTGCTCAAGAGAGCCACGGATCACACCCACCTGTCTCCATGAATGAAAAGACATTATCAAACCTATCACTCTAGGTGGGAGCTTGCAGGGAAAAAACATCTATATTTTGTATTGATTTGGACTCTCCAGTGGGATGCTTCCATGTGCAAAGCACACTCTACTAAGTGATGGGAGAAGGATGTAAGGTGATGAGGGAGACATATTCTTGCTTGAAGGTGCAGAAAGAGAGTATGCATAACACAATCATATGCACAGATCTATTTATTTGTATATCTTTTGTAATATACGTGATGTTTAAAACAAGGAATTTTAGGAATTCTGATGTGGTGGTGAAATGATTGCTAGTTTCTTGGAGGTGTCACTTTAATTGACATATAAGAAATAATTAGAACTTAGAGAAGAAAATGTGATGGATAAGCATACCAGGAAAGAACATTGAAAAAAAAAAAAAAGACAAGAAGGTGAGACAATTGAGACATATTGAAGGGTTGACATAAGAAAAAAAAGAAATAAGTCGTTCAACAAGAAAACAGTTATATGGATATGGAAAGAGGTGGGGCTGGCAGGATAAACTGCTGCTGGAATACTGAGGTGTTTTGATACTTGTTTAGGAAGAGAATGGACTTCAGTTGGTAGAGTATGTGTGGCTATTCTCAAACTTGAATCAAAGAAGACCCTGTAGGAAAAATTAATCAGCATTGTGAAGGAGGGTGACCGCAGTGAGGAAGCCTTGGATCTGAGAGCCCAGCCAGGTCTGAGGACGTACTCTGAGTGAGAGCCAGTGATGGCCTGGATTGGCATTATTCAGCTGGTAAATCGGTGTTTGGGGTTTAAAGGAAATTTGCAGCAATGCCCTGAACTTTCCCAGAGGTGGTCTTCAGATTGGAAAAGCTTTAAACCTCCCCTCTAAAGTCACAAAGTGATGGCTTTCCAAAAAACTTAAAAGCCAAGTTTCCCTCTCTGTTAAGAAAGACATTGTGGCCTTTGAGCATTTTAAGTTCAAATATTTAAAATGGGAAAACCATAAGGATGGGAAAATGGACAGATTTGCTTGATATCACCACAAATATTTCTGAACTGATTTTAGCTGATTTATGAATAAATAATTATCCCAGTCTTGGGAGTTAAATATTTAAAAGTTAACTCCCTTTTAGGGTTCATGTATAATACAGGGCTGATTTTCTGTGCTGCCGACTTCCGTCCTTCATTTCCTTCTTTTTAATACATTATAATTATTATTCTTATTCCATCTCTTTTCAGTTCCCTGCATGAAAAATTATTTAAACGTTGCACACAAATCTTTTGTGAAAGAAGAAAAGGAAATTCAGCTTGTGGATCTCAGCAGGAGTGAAACTAATGCAGCTTAAAATAATGCCGAAAAAGAAGCGCTTATCTGCAGGCAGAGTGCCCCTGGTTCTCCTCCTGTGCCAGATGATTAGTGCACTGGAAGTACCTCTTGATCGTAAGTATTAACATTTTAAAGCTCTAGGCCTAGGAGTCAAAACCTCCCAGCATTTGCCATCACCCTGAACTGTGTGGATGGACAAGGTGTCTGCGTGATACTGAAAAGCTAATCGAAATTAATTTGGCATTTACCTTCAGTGCCTGGTGTTTATAAAGGCTCACATCATAGAAATGGCCATTGAAACTGCCAGCAGCACTGTCCCCGCCCTTTCATTATCCTTCTCCCTCAGGTGCCTTTTGTGTACCAAGGAGGGAATAGCCTGAGTAGGAGGGACTTGTGCAGCTGCTCAGATCCTCCCATCAGGCAGCTCTTTGTAGAAATAGTCCTGCAAGAAAACCATGTAAACTCTTCACAAGAATCTTGGAGACCTCCCCACTTATCCCAACACCATGTCACTTTCTCCCTCCCTAGGCAGAGAGAGCTCCCGAAGGACTGGATGGGCCACCCTAGATCCCCTGTATCCCAAACCACCCATACTTAATTTATCTTGATTTAGACAAGGCACATTTATTTCATTTTCTAATTTTGAATCCTAAATATGAGTCTGGAGCTAGGAAAAGTGTCGTAGCTACAAGCCTAGTGAATAGTCTTTTTTTTTTTTTTAATTTAAATGACATGATCAAAGACCAAGATACAAATTTTTGACAATAAGCAATCTGCAAAAATACTAAAATGAAGCAAACAACAGCTATTCTATTTAGTCTACTCTTGTCCCAGTAGTAAAATAGATACCACATTCTGTCTGCTTTGGGTGGCCTGTTTGTGAAAAATAAAGATAATTCTAGGTTCCAACTGTTCACTTTTCTTTCCATGGAAAGCAGAATTTCAAATCTGGACAATTACTGTACTCCAGAATTGATTTATCTTTTATCCCTAATCTGCATGACCTCTCTAAATCCATTAGCTTTCTGAATAGAACATCTGTTTGGCAAGGTTTCCAAGGTGCAAGGAAGACAGCACTTTCCTGGGGCTATTCAATTGTTAGGATGCACTTTTTTTGCCATAGAAGTAGCAACTGCCAGTGGGAAGACATTAAGAAGAGATGTGGTTTGCCCCACACTTTGTTCACTTCCTTTGCTGTACTTCTATATTCTAGAATACAATAAAATGCACTATTTTGCTTGTTTAAAAAAATGCTCATCCAGTAGCTTTAATTTATATGTGTTTACTCAAGCTTGTTGGAATGGGAATGCCTAAATAAGCATTTTCCCCAACAGATACAACAGAAAGAAATGCTTGGGAGAAATGCTTTTTGTTCTCTCTCATGTTAAATATATTCCCTCTTTATCTGAATACTCAATCTAACAATCAGAGGGAAACGGGCACCTAGGGCTAACTCAATTATCGCTGCTAATGGAGAAGAGGCAGCACCATGATGAAAAGAAAGTCACGGATAACCCAGGCACTCCTGCATTAACCTTTACAAGTAGTAATGACAGGCAGCACAGCAGAATGATTAGAATTGCATGCAAATGTAATTTCTTCCCTGCCCCTGTTCCTCGCACCCTTTTTCCAGTATGTGAACCACTCCTTAGGGTAGGACCTAGCCATCCCTGGATGATTGAGAAATTTGGAAGCAGAAAGATGCTAACAGCCTAAAAAGTTTCATTACAGACTTGAAAAGTACTCATAGAAATATACAATTCTGAAATCAGTGCTGGGCTTGGCGTGAATGAGGCGTTGTCATTGTAGCTATGTCCCATTGTTAGGTATGATTATCATGTGCATAGTGATGTCTGGGATAATAGGATCAGACACTACACAGTATGTGACAACTCAAATTAATTGTAGAGTTCAGCTATTTTTCAAATTGAACATAATTACATGTCCAGCACAATATGTATGGGTTGGAATTAGCCATTCCTATTCCTGGAAGAATCTCTTTCTTCTTCTTCTTCTTTTTTTTCCCTTTTTTGCCTTTAGCATTGCTTTTGTTCTTTCTTATGTTTATGTGAGAACCTGCTGCAGGAGCAAACAAAAGCATCAATGCCAGTTTCTTTCTCTTACAACTTCACAACTACAGCCTTCACAATATGGGTTTTTAGGTCAAATCAAATTGAGGAGACACCCATTTTATCTTAAGGTTCTAACGTTCTCATTACTAACATCTGATTTTCTTTAATCCTGTTTGCCCACTCACCTGCTGATATTGATGGGGAAAAAGCAAAACTTCTTGAAGACTGTAAGTGTCTTTCTATAAATTACTAAGCAGTGTGAAATTTTGACTATGTCTTTGTTTTTTGAGTTAGTACTGTAAATTAAATGCACAATGTTATGTTTTGTGACAGTGTCTTTTTAAGCATGTGTGTTTACTATAGTTAAATATTGCATTTGATTATCAAGGTTCAAATATATTACCTGCATGAATTGTGAAGACTTGGGCATTATTCTCTTGCCAATATGCTGCTCTACTAACTTCCATGCTTTTTTCACATCTGATGTAACTCAATGAGAAAATCCACAGCCCTCCAAGTCGCTGGGCAAGCTGTAATACACCTCTAATCCCAGTGACGGGGGGGCTGAGGCAGGAGGATCCATAGTTTGAGGCCAGTCTGGTCAACTTAGAGAGAACCTGTCTCTCTAAATAAAAAATAAAACGTCTGGGAATATGGTTCAGTGGTATAGCAACCCTACGTTCCATCCACAGTATCCCCCACCCCCACCACACATACACAAGAATGATTATCTGGTTTTACATGCTTGCTAGAACAAAGACACATCTTTTTGGTGTCTTTTAGAAGGTGGGTGCATGCCGAAGCTTCACCAGGTCAGCCATTGTCTCTCTATTGCTGCTTTAGCCTTCAGAACTGTTCAGGCTAGTGTTTCTAAATGACATTGGTAGAATAACCCAGCAGACAAGAATATTGTCTTGAAGTATGCAAATGACAAGCAGCCCCCACTTATATCATTTCTGAATGCTTAATCTAAGCAAAACCTTTTGCTGTCTCTGACAGCTGGGCAGCATGTATCATCTAGAAAAAAAATATAGTCAGTTTTCAGGCATTTGAAAATTTCCTTTGATGTTGAGTTAGCCAGGAAAATTATGTAAAATCACTTATTACTGCTTATTACTGCAAAACATTTGTTAATTGCCACGTGACCAGAGCACTGTTCACAAAGGTACCTCCAGATGGTAAACTCCTGGCAGCTAGGAGTGACATCTAAGCTGGCTCAGCTGTAGACACATGAGAGAAGCTCTGCATTTGAAACCACCGAATTTGTGCCTATGCTCACCATTTTTGAGGTGTGCAATCCTAGGCTTCCTTCCATCATCCCAAACTGTATTCCTAGAGATAGAAGGATCAATCAATCACTCCTCATAGGTAAAGCTGGTACAAATAAAAATAATTATGGCAATAATTTAAAAATAGCAAACATTTCTAATATTGGCATTTACTAAGAATTTTACACAAATTATTTTATTAATTCCCCCAGCTACCCTAGTATGTAAATACTACTTTTAAACCTCAATTTCCCTCTGAAGAAACTAGGACATACAGAAATTAAGAAACTTGCTTAAGTCCCACAGTTAGTAAGAAACAAACATACAAATTCTGAACCTCTGGACCAATCTGCTAACCAGCATTGGAAATTGAAAGGGCTAGAAAAATGTGGGATTTACGTGTGTGGTGAGAGGCTAAAAGAGGAGACAGGTTAGTTGGAGGATGAAAAGGCGATGGTATGTTGCTAAAGGGTAAGGAAACTTATATTGTTCAGGAGGCTACATTTAATTAGTGCATAATAAATGATGACCAGAAAGAATTTAGCTTTAGAATTTAGGACTTACTTGGATGTTTAGTAGGAAATGCCTAGTGAACAGCAGCAATAAGCTGCAGACCAAGGCAAGAGAAGAGAACCATGTTCACAGATTTACACAGCTTTAGATGCAGAGGCATTAAATTTTGCCCCAGCAACAGTTAACCTCAATAGAGACAAGAGCAGGGGGCAGTTACTGAGTTTTGGAAAATGCTTGGTTGGCAAGTGGAAGAGTTTTCACAAAGCAAGCACAGAATGTGGGCAGAGAGAACAGGTAAGATCCAGAAGATGAAAAACCGAAATGATCCAGAAAGTCAATTGCATCAACAAAGGAAAGGAAATTGAGAGTTCAAACGAGGGTTTCAGGGAAAGTTTCAGATGAGGGGAGGCGTACTGGATCAGGGCCATTGCATGGCAGGGCTCTGGGAATGCCTCTCACGATGTGGCCTGTGCCAGGTTTCCCAGTCTCAGCACTAATTATATTTAGACCAAATAAGTTTGTTGTGGGGGATTTCCTGTACACTTGAAGATATTTAGGAACATCCCTGGCTTCTACCTGCGAGAGGCTAGTACAGCCACCTACCTAGTTGTAACATCTGAAATTGTCTCCAGATATGACCAAATACCCCTGGAAGGGTGGGCGCAAATTCCCCTGGTTGAGAACCACTGGTGTGTGTAAACAGCTCTCCTGGAGTTGTGCAAGGTAGTGGCAGGAGTAAGCAAGCAGAGAATTTTCTAGAGAATTTTGTTCTCTGCTTTTGCCTTCCTAGTCATGCCATTTGCCACTCTAAACAAGGGTTGAAATAGATTGTTTCTCTAGAGCCTTCCTGTTCTAACATTGTAATTCTGATTTCACAAGAGGAAAGATATGGTGACCTTAGAGCAAATTGAAGAGCTGCAGAGGTCCAGATACTGGCTTTCTTCAGATTGGATTGTTCTGAGTCAAAACAGTTTTCCCCTACAATTTCATTATAAAAGATTAGATAACACTTTGAAAAGTGAAATGGAAACATTGTTTTCTACAACACAGAACTTCAATTTCATTATCTTTGAAATAAGACTGTTTTTGCCTTGTTCCTAGTTCACCTACCTCTGGTTCTAATAAGGCATGTCAGGTCTCCAATTTAATGATCTTTTAAAGTTAAGATTCTCAAGTGAACGTGTTCCCAATATAGTTTAATTTACGTAAGCACACTAATGAACTGTAAATTACTCTTTCCTAAGAAAGACTCAAATTTACGTCCCAACTTAAATTTCACTGAAAGACATCATTTGTACCAAAAGAATTAGAAGAATTTCTCATTGTTACATCAGAAAGAAATGTCTTAATATTAGGATTATACTGATGATTATTTTCCCAAACTTTTAGTGTGGGAAAATGGACTTGGTGAGTGTGTGTAAAGTTGCCCCAAGGAAGTCATGCCTCAACTTCAACTTGAAGTTGAAAGTCTATTGAGGTATGCACAGCCTCATTGGAAATTACTAGAGACGTTTGGAGCAAATGTAGTGTACTGCAAGTGATTAGGAAAAATGGTTGCTGTATGATATTACATGATTTATTTTTTTACATTTATTCTTCCTTCTGAAATGAAGTGGTACAACCTCCAACCATCACTCACCAGTCTCCAAAAGATTACATTATTGACCCTCGGGAGAATATCGTGATCCAGTGTGAGGCCAAAGGGAAGCCTCCTCCAAGGTGGGTGTACTTTCTGCTTTTTGACAGTACTGAAAATAAAGTCCAGGAATCTCTAAGTATAGAAATAAATTTGGAAACTCCGTAGAATAAGGTAGGCCATGTAGAACTCTTCTTTTTGAGTTAGACATTTCTCAGTGTGATTGATTAGATTACCCTTTGGTTTATCTTACCAACTCCACAATTCATTTTAACTCTTCCAAGATACAGAAGGTAACTGCTTATTCCTAAAGCATCAGTTGTTGGTTTATGGTTTTATCTCCCAGATTAATTAGAGCCAATTTGTTCCTTTTAAATCCCAGATAATTGCATTTTCATGTGCAGATTTTCTGCAGAATGCTCATAATATATGGGAAGATGTGGAAAGAGCCTTCCAATCCTGTCTCTGACACTAATGGCCTTATGACATGAGCAAATCCCATTTCTCTGGGTTTCAGTTTCCTCATCTGTTAAAAAGAAAAGAAGAAGTTAAATTTACTACTTTCAAGATCTCTACTACCTTTATAGTGATCTGTAATATAGTCCTGAATAGTTTTCCAATTTGTCAGGATTCAGTACTCAGTATTCTTCGTGTGGATCTTGGCATGAATCCGTCAAAACCCTGTCAGATTGGTGTATTTATTAGATGGGAAACTGATGCCCAGCAATACTAGATAACTTATCCAAGGTCCTATAGTGGATGATCTGTGACTTGTCCAGTACATTAGAATTTTAGAGTTAGGTTGTTATCAAAATACAATGATTTTTAATAATTAGTAAATTGTAATAACTTTAATGATTATTAAATCATAATAAATGTAATTATAAGTAACAAAGAAGTGAAATGTTTTAGATATTTTATTTCCAAGTTTGGCTATTATAGGATTTTACTACTATTACAAACCAGCACCTGAGGAGAAAATTAACTGGCACTAAATATCGTGATATATCAAAGTCCTTATCAAAGGTTTGCTTTAAAATGATATTCTGCCATATTATTGGAAATTCTTACCACACAAGCCCTGACATGATGTTCTTTGGTGGAGTTCCCCTTCAACTTCTTGCTTGTTTAATATCTACCTTCTGTAATTCTCTATAGGATAGGGTTTCTCCTCCTCAACACCATTGATAAGTTGGGTTGGATAATTTTTTTATTGTGGGATAATTTTTTTATTGTGGGATAATTTTTTTTATTGTCCTGTGCACTGTGGGACACTTAGCAACATCCCTGTCCTCTACCTGCCAAGTGCCAGGAGCCCCATCCCCACGGTCCTAGTTGTGGCAACCACCACTTTGAGGATGAACAGAGAAAAGGAAAATCTAAGTAGGCCCAGAAAGCACATTTAGAGATGGATGCCTTTAAGTGGCCTTGGCCATCACTGATTTGTTACTAGTTATGAAGCATTGAATTGCATGAGCACTGTGACTTTTATAGAAGGCATTTGTATAAATCAAACCAAGAAAGAGAAATCTCAGTTGACAATTTGGCATACCTTCGAGGAATTTGTAAAACCATCTCTCAGAGTAAAAATTCTCAAAATAGAGTTTATATAGAATAACCACTTTTATAACCAACGTTTAAAACACCCTGAACTTGTAACTCTTACCCTGATCCCAGCCTCCGTTTTGCATTTTGGTAACTTGAAAGGGGTCTGATCAATTTTCAGCTCATATAGACAATACTTTCTTGTCACATTTCAGCCCAGAGCTGATTATTATAGACAGGTTATCAACTCTATGAATAATGGGGTTTACAATAAAAAATGCTAATAAAACTCAAAGAGAATATGCCTGAGAGAACTGTTTCCTGTGTTTCCTTGGATAAGTGACAGGCAATGTGTGTTAGCTTTGAGCTTTGAAGAAGACAGGTACCTCAAAATGTATAACCACCACCTTCTTCTAAGTCATGACTCAGAGCAACATTTTAAATATGGGGAATTATTGCTTTTCTACTTTATATTAAAATCTAATGATTGTTTATAGGGACTCATGACTATTAGGAACTTGTTGAAGAGTAAATAATCCTATTTTTTCTGGATCATTAATAAACTTAACTCTTGATGTATTGGGCAGCTTTTCTTGGACACGAAATGGAACTCATTTTGACATAGATAAAGACCCTCTGGTCACCATGAAGCCTGGATCAGGAACGCTTATAATCAACATTATGAGTGAAGGGAAAGCAGAGACTTATGAAGGAGTCTATCAGTGTACGGCGAGGAATGAGCGTGGTGCTGCAATTTCTAATAACATTGTCGTCCGCCCATCCAGTAAGTGATACTTTTCAAATATGACCATTTAAAGTACTGTTCCAAGCTGGGCATGGTGGTGCACGCCTATAATTCCAGATACTTGAGAGGTTAAGACAGGAGGATCTCAAATTCAAGGCCAGCCTGGGCAACTTAGAGAAACCCTATCTCAAAAATAAAAGGGAGGTGACTCAAAATGGGGTATGGAGGAAGAGCATGAGAAGAAGATTAACACTAAATAGGGAAGAGAGGTGGGAGGGAATGAGAGGGAGAAGGGGAATTGCACGGAAGCTGGAAGGAGACTCTCATCGTTATACAAAATACATGTATGATGATATGAGGGAAAAAAAAGAAAAAAGAAATGTGTCACATTAGATTGGGTAGAGAGAAGTGATGGGAGGGGAGGGAAGGGGAGGGGGGATAGGAAGGGCAGCAGAATAAAATAGACACTAGTATTGCTGTATGTATATACGTGTCTATATAACCAACATGATTCTGCAACTTGTACACTTGGAAAAATGAGAAATTATACCCCATTTGATTCAAATCAAAAAAATAAAATAAGGGCTAGAATGTAATTCTAGGGTAGAGCACCCCTGGTGTCAGTCCCTAGTACCACACACAAAATAAAATAGAAAAATATCAATTCAAGATTCAGCATCTGTTACATCACCATCCAAATACTGTAATAAGAAAGCAATGACATCGATTACAATATTCCTACTTTATTTTGCATGAAAGTTATTGCTCCTTTCTGCTTTCCTTTAGCAAAACTTCTCAGCCTAATGCTTTGCCAATCCATTGTGTCTTTTATCCAAGTCCTGAATAAAAGACCAGGATTTATTAAAAAAAAAAAAAAAAAAGGTTCATCAGGGAACTGATCTAATTTTTTCTCACATGCCTTTTGTATAAGTTTTTTTTAATAGCTGGATGAAATAAATTCAGTATATGGGTGAAGGTTATTTCTTTTAACATTTTTGTTTCAAATTTTTATTGTGGTTCTTTTTGCAGTGGTCAGTACCAAAAATCTCTCAAAAACCTCAAGAGCCTGTATGCATGTATTTAAAGAATAGCGAGCATTTGCTGTTCTTGTCATTTTGAAAACTTTTAAAATTACATGTGTAATGTATTCATTATAGAAAAATTAATTACAAGTAAAAAAAGAAATTTAAAAATCATTCAAGTGTCCTTTCTTTCAAGGAAATAACCACTGCTCAAATATTCTTTTCCTTTCTTTCCAGCAGATATATATGTATGTGCATAAAGCCAGCTCATTCTGAAATCCAACCTTTTCTGAACTACTGACATAGCATGTATATTCTCATGTCAATCTTACAAATTAGTGGACTTAAATAATATTGTATGATATTCAAAGGTATACTCTTTGTGGAGAACATATTTAGATCGAAGTTATGTGTCTTTATAATGATGTATTTAGTATACATTTTTAGACATGAAATCATTGACTCAGAATTCAGATTATCAATGGCAGTGAGTGATAATTTCTTTGTTTTTTACTATGTTTTGATTTTTTTAACCTTTAACACTGTATTCAAATGTCATTTTCTCATTGAAATACATAAATTTCAAATTTCTATTTCCCAAAAAAGTTTGGTTTGCCTTTCTTTGTAGTACTTATCAAATTTTTTCATTCAAAAATAATGCAGAAGTTATTTTTTAAATTATTTAATAGGGTCACCGTTATGGACCAAAGAAAAACTTGAACCAATAATACTTCGAAATGGTCAATCTTTAGTACTTCCCTGTAGACCTCCAATTGGATTACCACCAGCTATAATATTTTGGATGGATAACTGTAAGTTTTAACAATAAGAATTTTCTTTCTTCAAGAGTTTATTTATAAAGTTTTTTCTGTCATAATAAATTATTTTTGGGATTCATGAAGTATTCATAAAATATCATAGAGATGCTCAGGAAAATACTGCTCATTGAAATAAATAACATGCCATTTCATTTATTTCTTCAATTTTATCAAGCACTTACTATACAATGGAAACTGCTCCAAATAAACCACAAATACACCACTATCACTGAGCTTACATTCTATCTAAGTGGATGGGTTGGAGAAGGAGGCAGACAATAAATGCATTTAGATAATCTTTGTTGGTTGATAATAAATGTTATAAAAGAGAATAAAACAGAATTTTGAGCCCAAACCTAAGAAAATAAGACAGCAGGTGGGGCCCCTAAATGTTTCAGTAGCAGGGAGCACAGGTGTAAGCCCTAAGGTAGGAGTATCCTGGTGTGTATAAAAGATAAACACATGTGTCCAGACAGAGATCCAAGAGAGAGGAAGATGAACAAGATCATGGAAGTCACAGGACTCAAAGAAAAGTGCTTCAGCTTTTGCTCTGAATAAACTGGCAAACCAGTGAAGGAGTGTTTGTCTGAAATAAAATAAATAGTAGCAGTGTGACTTCTGCTGGGGTATGGAGAGTATAGAGGACTAAAGGGGAGGCCAGTTAGGGGTTCTGCTGTACTCTAGGCAACAGTTGAAGGTACTTGCACTTGGGTGGTAGCAATAGAGTGAGATAGATTCTGGATTTATTTTGAAGGTAGAGCCCTCAGGATGTATTGGGGTGGGGGCAGGAGCATGAGAGAGAGGAAGAAGAAGAGATAACTACCAAGTTTGGAGACTGAACAGCTGATAAAATGGAATTGCCACTTCCTGAAACAGCAGAAGCCCTCAGAGGGGAGGAAACTGAACTGTTTTGAATGTGTCATATTTTTGTTATTTTATCCCTAACAATAGTTAATATTCACTGGGCCTTTACTAAGTGCCAGTCCCTTTGCTAAGAACATCACATGGGCCACCCCATAAAACAACCCCATGAGGAGTATTTAATGATTTTTTTCACTTTCCAGATGAGGAAACTGAGGCAAAGAGAAAGCCATCCATTAGTCAGTTTCAAATTTGTCTTCCCTTGATCTTCTCCTTGAAGGAATTATTTACTGCTCTGCCTCTTCTACCCTCCCAATTTTCCTATGCTAATAGGGTAGCATTTATCTCAGAGGAAACACATGGCTTGGCTTGTAAACTAAGCAACCAGAGTGTGAGTTCTATAAGGCATTGATGTCCAGATGCCCAATAAGAGTCAGAGGTGCATGTATCAGAAGTATGATCAGTGGTGTGTGCAATGTTATTGCATAGATAGCACATCTTAGAACACTGGAATGGATGGGAGAATTTAGCGGGGTGGGTGCAGGTGGTGCAGAGCAGAGCCTGGGGGACTGAAACCACAAGCCATCAAGAGGTCACCAACTTAGGGAGAAACCAGGAAAGGAAATGAGAAGGTGCAGTCACTGAGGTCAGAAGAGAACATAGGAAGAGTGGTGCCCCAAGAGCAAGGTAAAGAAAGTACTTCAAGAAGTCTATTCCCAGTGACATGATTTCCTCTGCAATCAAAGGCTACATATATTATTAAAGAGAAAATTTGACTCTTAACACTCAATTTTCATTTTTTAACTTTTATGTGAAATCACTCAGAAAGTATCACAAAGAAATTAAAAACAAATATATAAAGAAATAAATATGACAACATATTTTAATTTTCACTTTATAACATTTTTTTTACAGGTTTTGAAAGAATAAGTAGCCAACCCAATATATGAGTGACAAATGGTTTTGAGAACAACACTCTCCACATGTCACTGTCAAAAAAGAGACCCAGTGTTTGGTCATTGGTTCTAATCAGCAATGGTTTCCTTTCTGCTTAATAAAAAGATATACTGCATGTAAACTCTCAGATCATCTGAGTATGTAACTAATTTTTTCCCACTTTGCACAGCTTGCTGTATCGTTTATGTACATATTAAGCTGTTGACAAAGCTTCTGACCTTTCAGATGGAAATGGCATTTGCAATATGAGAAAGCAATTAGTTCCACATAGCACTTTTTGAAGATAACTTAAATTATTCATATCTTCATACATTTTTTTTGAAGCATAATACAAAAAAAAAAAAAAAACTCAAAGAGCAAAATGATACCACCATAGTGAAGTCCGTTGCCTTACATCTGAACTACCAACACCCAGGAATCATAAAATACAGCAGGATAAACAAAAGACAATAAATATATGATTGTCTTTAGCTCTTTGCATTCATTAAATAAATGTTCCTTCTTTTTTTTCTGAGTAGTTTTAAAACCGTTGTTTTCCAGGGGATTAAAACTATGAATTTACAACAACTACCAAACCCCTATCTTGACCAAGAACTTGGCTTACACATATAACTGATGGTATTCTTTTAAGCTCTGGCTCCAAGTTTCTTGGCCTTTTCTTGCCTGAGGGAGCCTTTTAACCATGATTTTGCATTTTGTGAAATGTTAGACCAGGCACCTGCCACTGGAGGAGCATAGCTGTTTCACTCAAGCTGAAGAAATCTTATCGAAAGACAAACACCTGTCCCGAGGCCACTAAGATGTGTAACTCTTCCTTATTCTTTCACTTTGGAACTAAAGAACTCTCACAGTTCAGGCTCTGTGAACTGAGTCAGGAGCTTCAGGAGACCTTTTAGCTAGCCAAGTGTAACTTCTTGCAGAGATAGTGAGTTCCACTTCCTTGCATCCTCCATTGGGTAACAGACCTTCTCTCCATGCCTAAGGCTAGACAGTTTCTTGACTGGACCTGAGGGGAAATGAATTATCATGCCTGAAACTAGAAATTCAGCATGTCCTTGGTTATTCATTTAATCTTTCCATGAGTATTTGAGGGAGTCCCTCTGAAGGGCCAGGCACTGATCCAGAGCCACAACAATGTATACGGGAGATGGAGGTCTCTACTCTCCTGGATCTTGAATTCTGGTGCAGGGATATGAAAAGTAAAAGATGTAGTATGTCAATAGATGATAGGAAATTCAGAAAGGAAAAAGTGGAGGAGGAGAGGGATACTGGGGTAGGGGTTGCTTCTCAGGGGCAGGTTGCAGCCTTGAATAATGTCGTCATCACACCCTGTAGTTAATTTCCCACTGACTGCCTGGTTCTCTAATTAGATCATAAGCTCAGACAAGATTGGGGCTCTGGTATGCTCAACTCCTTGCTCAGGGAGCAGCAGGCATATAGAAACAGATCATATTAACATCCTTATGAACTTTCTTAAAGCATTTTCTAAGATATGCACAGACAGGGGTGATTAATTTAGGAAAAGTCATACAAACTTTTGTAAAACATTTCTTTGTTTATACTTGCTTCAATAAAACATTTCCCTGTATGACTCTAATCTCACCTCTTCCCCCATCTATGAAATTAGGGTTGGGCAGGTACAGTTGGAGTTCTAGTGTGTCTTCCATGTTTTTATATAATTGCTTTTTCTTAAGAACTCTATTAAAATATTATATATATTGGGCTGGGGTTGTGGCTCCACGGTGGAAAGCTTGCCTAGCATGTGAGAGGCCCTGCGTTCAATCCTTAGCACTGGGTAGGTGAATATGGTAAAGGTATTGTGTCCAACTACAACTAAAAAAAAATATTAAAATATATATATTTATATCTGTGTGTGTACATATCTGTGTGTGTGTATATATATATATATATATATATATATATATTTTTTTTTTTTTTTTTCCCCCTAAGTGAAGTGTCCACAGAATTATTGGTAGTTAAGTTGCTAATTTGGAGCGTGGCCATGTTATGATGGAGTGATCTGGTTCTCCTTCTGCCTTTCTCCAGCCTTTCAAAGACTTCCACAGAGTGAGAGGGTTTCCCAAGGTCTGAATGGAGACCTTTATTTTTCTAATGTTCTCCCAGAAGATACCCGTGAAGACTATATCTGTTATGCCAGATTTAATCACACTCAAACTATACAGCAAAAACAACCTATTTCTGTGAAGGTAGTTTCAGGTAAGAGTTCATTTCCAAATCTTCCTTTCAGTGATGTTTACACATGTGAAAAATTATAAACCATTAAATACTACTCAGATAAATAGGCTCATTGATTAGGAAACTACCTGTGAAGGATCACTAGTGGTGGCAGATGGAAAGAGCATGAGTATCCTAAATACTGTATGGTGTGATTGCCATTACTGTTTCCATGATGACCTTCTGAATCACTTGGTATTCTGAACATCGATGTGTACTTTATGCCCCACAATGCCTTTTATTTGACAATCTTGCTGCGTAAGTCACAGATTTACATATTACTGGTTGGGGGTGGCTGAGTGAATTAATAATGAGTTAGTCATATACAGTGTTAAGCACCATTTTTACATGGTAGGGATGGTACTTAGCACAGCTGTATACCTTTGTTTTTGTTGCCCAGTGGTTTTTGACCCCTCTCCCCTACTTTTGTGCCCTCTTCATAATATTCTGTTTATTTCAGTGGATGAATTGAATGACACTATAGCTGCTAATTTGAGTGACACTGAGTTTAATGGTGGTGAGTCATGGTGATTGTAACTGATTTTCTCCTTCATTGTAGACTTTAGTTCACTAACTTCACCTCCATGGCTATTTAACCTTATTTCTTTATGAAATTTCTAGTTATATGTTTAGTACCACTAGTTTCAATGTGTGTTTCCTATAAAATTTAGTTGTAAACTTTCAAGCATGTCACTAAAACATTTTCCATGGTGTCTGTATAATAATGAAACTTGTTTTTAACTGTTCTCATGTAAAAGAACCATTTCACTTGATCTGGATAAAATCTTTCATATATGTTTTGAATTATATTTTCCATTTTTTTTTGTCTTATTCATAAACTTTTCTCATGAACTAAATAAGAGTCGACTGGTGTATTAACCTGCTAGAATACGTCTACATCAAAGCTTTTAGTGACTAACATTAAGTGGATTCCATAGTAAATCATCACATTTCCAATTCATTTTCACATGACATTATGCAATACAAATAGTAATACTATTTCTCTGGGTTTTGTATGAAACCAAGTTACTATCTTCAGTGAAATTAAACTTAAAAAAAAAAATAGAGCATTAAACTTCATTCTTTTAAATTGAAAAAAAAAAAAATTTCCTTAAGGGAAATGTGGTACTTCTATCAATAAAAATAATGAGTTCTGTATAGAGGGCCCTCTTAATTATCCAGAAGGCAGAAAACAGAATTTCTACTATATTAATTTTTCATACTTTAGATATGAACATTTTGGTATCAGTGACATAGCCCAACTCCTGCTATTTTATTTTGCTTCATTTATTTTAAATATACTCTTAAAAAAATATGGGCCTTAAGACCATTCCCAAAGTGACTTTAGAAAAGAAAATTTCCCCTAAAATCTCTAAATTCTTTAGAAAACTAATTTCTCCTTTTCTGATATTTAGTTTTTTCTTCTGAGAAATGAGAATAATTCATATATTACCTATTCATTCAGCTCTGATGAGCACCAAGTAGGTAATTTATTTAAGTTTGAAAATAGTGAAGAGCTATAGATTCTTAAGATGTTATAATTTCTACTTCAAGTTTTTCCAAGAGGCCTTCAGAAGTTAAGGTTATATTTTGCAGAGTTCATAAAAAAGTTGACCTGCATAAATATCCCTAAGATCTCTGAATTAAGACCTTCTTTATTTTGTCATTGAGGAAACTGGTTTTAATTTATCTAAGTCTACCATTATTCTTAACTTATGGCAAATAATTTGCCTGACCTCTGTCAGTAGTCCTCCAAGTTTGTTTTATTTTCTATAAACTTTTGAGTTTGGAAATTGATTTGGCTGTAAAGTTATCCCCAGTGTAAACCAAAGTACCTCTTCCATAATGACACCTTTTTGAAAAACCTAATGTCTTCTAGAAGATAGACAGTTAATTTTGTTTTTGAGCTGAGCACTAATCTTAAGGGAGATATAGTTTGATAACATAATTTTCCTTTCAATGTTAACATTTTGAAATTTGTCAATCCACAGAAAATTTGTAAAACCCTAACCTAGATTAAAAGAATTTACAAAAGGAAAATAGTCCTTTACTACAACTTGAGCTTATGCAACCCAAATTATTTGTATTTGTATTTTCCTGTTTCAATGAGTAAGTGGATGTAGTTTAACAAATTTCATAATCAATGCTAAATAGTTTTGAAAAGGGATTAGAATTTTAGACAGGTTTTTTTTTTGACAGTGACTGCATTTCTGGAAATATATATTCATAATTTTTAATGCATATTTATTTTCTTCTTTGCAGCTAAATCAAGTAGAGAGAGGCCACCAACATTTTTAACTCCAGAAGGCAATGCAAGTCACAAAGAGGAATTAAGAGGAAATGTGCTTTCACTGGAGTGCATTGCAGAAGGCCTGTGAGTTCACACACTGCCCTGATGTACATTTCTTATAAAAATATAGTAGACTGGTGGAGAAGCATTACTATCATAGGAGGAGTCATTGTCATACTAATCTCATCAAGCATCAATTAATTTCCAAAGTAGAGTGCATGATTTGCATTATTCAAATAAATCACTACTGTAGTAGTGTTTGCATTGAAATAAGTATCAGTAGTTACCTCATGATTGCTATGTTATAATAAGGAGATATAATTTTGCTATTTTGTAAGAACCTATTTTCTAAAAACTTAGTGGCTTAAAAATAATAGCTATTTACTATTGATCCTTTGTCTGGAGGTCTGCAGGGAAATTTTACTGTAAGTTGAACATGCTCATGCATCTGCTAGGCAACTCAACAGAGGGTTTGTGACTCTCAGGGTCTGCTGGTTGTTGGCCTAGCTCTTGGTTGCAAGTTTCATCCTGGCTTGTTCTCCTAACAACAGAAACTCACCAGGCATCTTAGGGCCTAGCCTCATAACTAGCACATTGTCCCTTCCATTCCTTCCTATTAACAGGTCACAAGGCCAAACCTTGGTTCTTTGAAATGTCTCATCTGTGCACATCTCAGAACTGATGTGCCTGTGACAGGCATTGCAAAGACCTCACCCAGACACAAAAGCAACTATTAGGATGGGTCTATATTACAGGCGAGTTTCTACACAGTCCCTGGCTAGAGCAAGTGCCTCGATAGGAAAATATCCTCTAACAGCCTTGAATGGGATCCCAGAAGCATGCTGCCTTCACAGTTTGTGATCCATGCTATTCTTGACCTGGTAACTTAGTGGCCTGATCTTATCTGAGTCCAGGAATAACTACTTCAGGAAGCGTTTGGAGGCCTCTGCTGGCCAAGTCAGGAAATCACACTATATATGACAGTTCCTTAGACTGAATACTAGCAACAACCTCCTTTAAAGATATGTTAAAAATCCATCTTTTCGGGCTGGGGATGTGGCTCAAGCGGTAGCACGCTTGCCAGGCATGTGTGCGGCCCGGGTTCGATCCTCAGCACCACATACAAACAAAGATGTTGTGACTGCCGAAAACTTAAAAATAAATATTGAAATTCTCTCTCTCTCTTCTCTCTCTCTGTCTCTCTCTCTTAAATTTAAAAAAAAAAAAAATCCATCTTTTCCACCAGAATTAAAAAAGAAAAAGAAATAAAAAAGAAAAAAGTCCAATTTTTATTATTTTGTTAGAAAGTAGCTTAATCTCCAACCTCCAACCTACTGGAGTAGAATTACCTATTCTGAAATTTGGTGCCTCATTTTTCCACAAATGATTTGCAGGTTGTGTATTCTTTATCCAAAATGCTTGGAACCAGAAGTGTTTTGGATTTCATATCTTCTTTTTAAATTTTGTTATATTTATATAGACTTTACTCATTGAATGCTAACATGACACTTAAAACATTTCAAATTTTGGAGTATTTGGATTTAGGCTTTTTGATTAAGTATGCTCAACCTATATTATATAAAATATGAAATAAAGTAAGGTTGGTCTTTGGAAATTTCACAATATTCCTAAAAGAATTTCTAAAACTCTGGAATGTTATAAAACCAAGATTGGAACTCTATCTCTTACAGAACAACAAACTTTAAACCCAAAGAATCAAAACATTCCAAATTTGGAACAATTGCTCAATAGAGTAGCAGTCCTCCAAAATGAGTCATGGCTCTTCGAAGGGGAAACTATGATATTATGTTTCTATCCCCATTCCCCTTTCATCTTCAGATCATATGAAATTCAAATTAGTCTAACTATTAGAGAACAGTTTATGTTTTCAGGTTCCACATGATATAGTTGTTCAAATTTCAAAATGATTTCTCATCTTCTACCTCTTTTTATATGTACAACATGTTTAATTAGAAGCTATTTCATCAAATATATATTATTTCAGTAATTACTCAATTATTTCTATTCAATCCAGACCAATACTATAAACTATCAGTTAAATCAACTTGCATTTCTAATGACAAGTATTATGATCTTCCTGAGGTCTGGACCAAACTTTATCATTACCTTCCCAGCACATAACTCAGTGCTCTGTGTCTAGTTCAGTGCTTAGGAATTGTTTGTATTGAATGGATCTTTATTTTGTCCTCATGAAAACCTTGTGAAATCATTAGATCAGGTCGTGCAACTAAGGAAACTAAGACCCCAAAGGGTCAGGGATCCAAAATCAGAGAGAAATTTAAGGACAAGGCTGGAACTTGGAAGATTTAACTTCAAGCCTATATCCTGGCTTTTTATCTATTTCCATATTTCAGGGTTTAGTAAGAAGCATAGGTGGTTGGACACACCTGTAATCCCAGGTTTTCAGGAGGCTGAGGCAAGAGGATGGCAAAGCAAAGACCAGCTCTGGCCATTTAACAAGAACCCATTTCAAAATCAAGAATAAAAAGGACTGAGAATGGAGCTCAGTGGTAGAGCACCCTTGAGTTCAATCTCTAGTACCATCAAAGAAGTAGAAAAGATAGAAAAAACACAGCTGAATGAGAGATGATATAATATACAAATTTGATCTATTAACAATTGATATAATAATATTTTTAACTATCACTAGTAAAGAAATTAAGGAAAAATACTAATCCTCTAATCACATAATTCATGTCATCAATTAGCCTGTTATAAAATAGAAAAGTTCTTATTGTTTGCTATGGAAATGTGTGAAAGTCTGGGGACACAGATATATTTGTGAGCCCTTTCTCAGTACTTTTTTTTTTTTTTTTTTGCATGGGGAGTACTGGGGATTGAACCAGGGGTGCTTCACCACTAAGCTATATCCCCATTGCCATTTGTATTTTTTATTTTAAGATAGGGTTTTGCTAAGTTGCCAAGGTTGGCCTTGAATTCATAATTCTCCTGCCTCAATTTCCCAAATTGCTGGGATTACAGGCATGTACCACCATACCCAGTTTCTCTGTACATTTTTACCTTTAGCTAATGAAAAAATATAGCTCAATATCATTGATTTAATTGAAATTCTCTTAATATATACCCTCATGTAAAAATACCTGGGAGCTCCTCATTGATAAGGATTTTGAAGAAAATACTTAGGTCCCTTCGGTAAAACAGCTTATCATAGCAGCACTGCATCACTGAAGGCAAAGTTTATGGTGTGCCATAAATTAGTATAGTTCTGGTTATGTGAAAATGGTATCTTACCATTTTAAATGTAGGTTTTGAGCATTATTTATAAAAGTGTGATGCTAAAGAATTTGTTGTACAATTGCATGAAAACTCGCCCTCAAAAGTAGTCACATTTTTTGTAACATCATTGTTTATCCCATCAGGCCTACCCCAATTATTTACTGGATAAAAGAAGATGGAATACTACCCATCAACCGGACATTTTATCGGAACTTTAAGAAAACCTTGCAGATTATTCATGTTACAGAAGCGGATTCTGGGAATTACCAGTGTATAGCCAAAAATGCATTAGGAGCCATCCATCATACCATTTCTGTCACAGTTAAAGGTAAATTATTATTTAAGATGCATTCCTCTTGCTTTCACACAATGACCTGATACTTCAATTTAATATACCTTTGATAATGTTCTTCAGTAATGATGAATGTAAATTTATATCAGCATTCACAGTACCTTGAATCTCTTTTCATTGCTATTGAGAATGCATCTACACCAGGTTAAAAATTTGCTCCTTCAAATCTTCCTTACAGAATTCCATTTAATAAATATAGAAGGAATGAGGAAAATACAAAAATCACCATTATCCCATAAGGGCAACTGCTATAGGCAAGGTTCACTGATGAACATTAAAATTAATGGGTTACCTTTTGAGGAGAAAAAGAGGATATTTCTATAGCTTCAAAATGTTTCTCTTCCCTAAAAACATGAATAACTGGGGGAATTTTAGCATGTCCACTGTTTTTTTTTAATATTCCTTTCTTGAGGAGATGGAACTTACTTCCCTTCTCCTGGGCACACTTAATGACTCACAATGAACAAAGTGTGGAATGCTGGAGAATACTAATTTTGCAGTGGAGACATTTGGCAGACACCACCTTAACCAAGTCATGAAAGTGAACATCACCAAGAAGTCATGTTGATCTCATGTCCTTCCTCAATATGGTACAACAAGTTGGTTCATTCCTTTGGTGGTATTCTTAAAACCCAAAACTTCAGCTAATCATGAGATAACATCAGGAAAACCTTTGTTGGAAGACATCTACCAAATAACTATCATTGTAATAGTAATGAAAGACTAAGAAACTGTCTGATTGGAGGAGGTAAGGACCTACCTATAAAGACTCAATACAGGGATGGGGATGTGGCTCAAGTGGTAGCGCGGTCGCCTGGCATGCGTGCGGCCCGGGTTCGATCCTCAGCACCACATACAAACAAAGATGTTGTGTCTGCCAATAACTAAAAAAATAAATATTAAAAAAATTCTCTCTCTCTCTCTCTCCTTCTCTCTCTCTCTCTTTAAAAAAAAAAAAAAGACTCAATACAGTGTGGTATCTGAGACAGGATCCTAGAATAGAAATAAGACATTAGTGCAGAAAAGAGGGAAATCCAAACAAAATGTAGAGTGTAGTTAATAGTATTGCATTGATGTTAATTTCTTGTTTTGATAACTGCACTTTGCTTATAATAAGATGTTGACATCAGAGGAAACTGAATGAAGGATGTATGGAAACATAATATACTACCTTTGTAGCTTTTCAAGAATGAAAATTTTCTCAAGGGGCTTCCTAATCTTATAATTTTATGTAATTTGCAGGGCTCAGAATTTAAATTCATTTTTCTTAACCTTTCCTATATCTGTAAATTACTTTAAAACCTCAGATAAATCTGACACCTCTCTGATGTCCAATAGATTTAAATATAAAATGAAATTTGTGTCAAACAGGTCTAGAGTGTGTTTAAACATTCAGGGAATCTCTTTAAACATCCTTTTGAAAATCTAAAAGTTTCAAGCATTACTATTCACTTTAAAAAAAATGAGACTAACAGTGTTTTGCAAAATAACTATTTTTATTACTGAAATAGTTCAACATATTCTTTTGCTATTATACTTATATGATTCATATTTTGATTTTTTTCTCTTCTTTTAATAAAGCGGCCCCTTACTGGATCATGGCACCTCAAAATCTTGTGCTGTCCCCAGGAGAGGATGGGACCCTGATCTGTAGAGCTAATGGCAACCCCAAACCCAGAATTAGCTGGTTAACAAATGGAGTCCCAATAGAAAGTAAGTTTCTTTGATTGACTGTAGTTGCAGGATATTTTCAAAGCATATCTATTTCTTACCAGTGAACAAATGGTGAAATTTCTCTGATCAAGGAAGAAAGCCATATAGAAGTTAAACAGATGTGCTGAATGATCTTTAAAGTTTCATTTCATTACCTTTAGATATTCATTATGACTTTGAATAATTTATATTATTAAAATAGTGGTGTGTGTGTGTGTGTAAACATGCCTGTGTTGACTGGGACTTGGCAATACTTCTGTTTATTACCTTATAACATGGAAAGAGTGACATGGCCAGAAATACACATCACCAAAAATGTTCATATTATCTTCTATAATCAAACATCAAGTGATTTATGGAAAAAATCATAGGAATCAGAAGAGACAGGCAAGGAGAGTAGCCCTAGAGCCAATGGATCTAACAAGAATAAGAAACACAGCTGTCTTACTTTCGTGAGTTTTTAGTCCTGAGTGTAGCCCAGATGTTCCCACATTCTCCAATCTTTAGAGATCACCATCCTATTTAACATATAAAGAACACATCCCCTGGTCTGATCTTATGTAGGATGCTCAATTGGTTGCAAGCTGACCTTCCCTGAGTATTGCCTAGATCACCCCTGAGTGATGCCTACATACCCTGGCTGTGCCTGTCACCTACAGCCACCTTCCTTGTTCAGCTCCACTCCCAGCTTGTTCTTATTAGCCAGGTTTTCCCAAGCTGCTGCTATGCTGCCCACAATGGTCCTCCAAAATGTGGCCACAGGCCCTCCCATTAACCTCCTAAGACCAGACTTTCAAAAACTTGGTTAGAGGCTTGAAGATAGTAGAAGGGAACAATAGCAAAGGGGGTCAAAAACATCAAAATGGATATTGCCCCTCAATGCCCTTGAACTCCTGTGAACACAGCCCACTACCGTCATCTTCCTCCACCTACTCACCACGAATTGTTGCTGGCAGGGGAATCTCCAAACATTTTCTACTTCTTGGGGTCCAGATGTACTCTTAGATCCAGAGAGAGACAATCAGTTTCTTCTTCAAATCCAGCCTCAGTTCACCTCCCAGTCAATGTCACAGTCATCCACAAAGATATTGCAGACAATATCTGCATAATAAAGGCAACTTTCAGCTTATGGTAGAAGGCAGCTCGACCCCTGATTGCCTCTAAGTCAGAGTCAAATATTGATTCCGCTTCTACATAATCAAAAGGTCCATTGAACTGGCTTTCCTGAAACTTACTCTACCCACTAAGACTGATCTGAAAACAACCAGTATTTTTAAGATGGCACAAGTCCCTGTTTTTCATCATCAAGTGTGACAACTACAGGTTTAGACTGAGTAAATCACACCCTGTTCTGTAGTACTTTTGGGGAAGTCACTTGTGTCACAAAACATAGTAGTCATCAGATACTTCAAATTAGACAGCCTATGTTTATGCTCAGAGGAAATATGTTCCTAAGAGAAAACAGATTCTAAAAAGGCCAGTAAAAGGGGTTACAGTATTTCCACACCCAAGTTTAGTCATGATCAGGATAAGGAAAAGTGACATTACTTTGTGGTTGTATATAAGGAGGCTATTGCCATTCTCGGGGGGTTATGAGTGAAAATTGAGAGAAAAAGTGAAAGAAAGCCCAGAACTAAAGGAGGTTTTATGGTAATGTGACTTTCTTAGGGATACATACAGAATAGTGGTAAGTGATGGAGCTTGTTCAGCACTTTTGCACCATGTTTTTGTTTTCTGTTTTTGCGACTCAGAGGTTCTTTGTGATTTATGGAAGGTTAAATATGCTTCTGAGAGCTAGACTCAGCAAAACACACAAGTGGGAGGGAATTCCCATCTAGCCACTCAGTAGGGAAAATGGGAAACCTGGGGATACTGACGATTAAACTCTCACGTTCAGCAGTCAGAATGCAGCCCTAAGCAGGGAAAATTGAGATAAGGGTAAGAGATTAAATAATGAGGCTGCTCTTTTCCCCTGATTTGCTTATTGTCCTTCCAAATTGGCTCTTAGTCTTTTCCTGCTGGTATAATCTAGTATCTTAGACTGGATAATTTATAAACAACAGAAATGTATTGCTCATGGTTTTGTAGGCTAGGAAGTCCAAGATGAAGGTTCCCACAGAATTGTTGTCTGGTTAGGGCCTGTGCCTTCTGTGTGTGCTCACATGGCGAAAGGTGAAAACACGCTCTCTCAAACTTTTTATAAGGCACTTTAACCCCATTCAAGAGTGGGGAACCTTCATGACCTAATCACTTCCCAGAGTCCTCACCTCAGTACTCCCTCCATGGGGGTTAGGTTTCAATGTGGGAGTTTAGGTTTCAAGGTATGAATTCTGGAGAGCCACAGACATTCAGATCACAGCACCAGTGTAAGCAGCACCTTTGAGGGAAGCCTGTACTATAGTTGTGTTAAGAACTTTGAAAATGCACTCATAGATTCTCCCTTTTAAACATATTGTTTTGAGGGAGGATTAGCTACAAAAGGCTTTGGTGGAAGAAGGCAGTGGTCCCTGAGAGACAATTTAATCCCTTCTTCTTTAACACTAAATCATCCAAATAGGTCTAGAGCAGAAAGAGTCAGGACAAGCTTTCTCAAATCAGCTTCCAAATAAATTCATCTCTTCCATCCCAAAAGTATTCTTTAAATCCCCTTGGGACAGAAAAGAAAGGGGGCCAAGAAGACATGGGAATTCTGTAGCTCCTACAGAGCTGGGGTGCCCTGGCCTCTGGTGTGCAGCCAGAACAGTCGCTCTAGAGTTTGCACTGTGGGGAACACCACAGTGTGGCCTCAAAGCAAGGAGCTAGGCCCTCAGGTGGTGCTGGGAGTAGGTGCTGTGTCTACACCAAGGTGATGGGAAGCTTTCCTGAAGGTGTTCAAGATGGACATGCGTGGATTACTGTGTGGACTTCCCAGAACTGAAAGGTGATGGACTTGCAGGACCCCTACACAATGATACTGCTGAGGCACAATTGTTCCCCACTCCTGGCTCTCAGTGGCTGGTCCACATACAACTTCTGCTGAGTAGTCTCTTGGGTAGATACTGAGCCTTAAGTAGCTAAGTTAAAGTGAACATGCCCCCACTGTAGATTGGCATCTCCTAATTCAAAATAAGGAATAAATGAGGAAGAAAACTGCTAAAAAAAAAAATTCAGTGGATGCTTGAGCTTCTCCTTTCTACCCTGCTTGGTAGTTACCACATGAATTTAAAGACCGCCCCCAAACAGAATTGTCTTGAGATTTGTGGACCATTCTGAAAACAGCTTGTTTCTCATCCATAGCTTGTTGAGTTGTGTTCCATACAGATGCATCCAGCATTGCTGGAATATAGGGGAAGGAAGGCAGAGAGATATGAGAAGGCGAAGATAGGACCAATAGCAAAATCTGCTGCCATATACGGAGGCACAAATGAGCCTTGTAAGGATTATCAGCCAGAATAGACCCCAGAAGTTGGCTGTGGGCACCAGCTGGCTTGCTGGCAACGCCTACTATCCAAGAGACTGCAGAAACTGTGGGTGGACCGGCAGCTTGGGCCAGGGTACAGCTGTGCCTCTGCAATACCACTGTATAAGAAGCCATGCAGTGTCCCTGCCTGAGGTCTATCCCCTGTGTCACCCAGCAGACACACTGTCAGGGGCCCATACTGCCAGACACACAGACTCCCACCCCTGCTCTGTGGGCTATCACTCCAAAGACACTGACTGCCTCCTGTGCCTCTGCAGGCTCTGGCTGCCAAGTAGACACAAATATTGTAAAAGGAGAAGCAGGATCAGGTCAAGGGAGGGGTAAGACGAGATCTGCTAGCAAAATTAGTTGTTATTGGTTTGCGACTGTGCACTTCAGATCTGGAAACTTCTATTTTACAAACTGAAAGGATCAATTCCAAATCACCTGCACAAGTTATCTCAATGGCTTCTAAAGCTCTGTCCCACTGGGTCTGTCTAAATTATTGACAACTTTCCTTGAGGTAACTAATAGATTATATTAAATATGAGATTTGTCCACAAACTACCCAGAATGTTTACAAAACAATCTACAGAAGTAAAAAAATAACACAGCTGTAAGAACTGGTGCCAAAGAACTTGATTTTACTGTGCAGCCTGCAGTGTCTGAGAGGATAGGGAGCTGAACTCTATCTAGAACAAGAAAGAAAAAGAACTTGCTGACAGCAGGTTGGATAAAGCATTGCTGTACTCTCTCCAGAATAGATAAGTGCTCATAAGTTCCTCTTCTCCTCCCTTCCTTCCCCACTGGAGAGTCCATGCCACATCACCATGCCATCCTGGTGATAACCCCCAAGGCCAAGGCTGTGGACACCATAATTCCTTTCTCTGTCCCAGGAGGTAGTGGGAGAGTTTGATGCCTGCAGTTCTTTTATCATCTCCTATGTGAGTTGTGTTAGATCTCAGGCCATTCAGCCTGGAACATGTATAATATCACATTCTTAGGTTGAAAGGCTTCTTTTCTCTCAGATATGAGAAGGGAAAAGAACAAAGGTGACAAGAAAGGGCAGGAGATATCTTCCTGCCACAATCACATATTTCACTCATACTGAAAGCCAGTAACACATAGTAAGCTGCCAGGGAATGAGGCCCACTAGAGGATATTCCTGAGATTCTGTCAAAGCATCTTCCTTCTTCCTTTTCTCAAAGGTAAAGGGCTTGGTTGTTTACCCTTAAGGGGATGGAATAGGTAGAAGACAAATAAAATTCAACTCTATCCAAAGATTGATTCTACAATATTCCTGAATGATCATAATTCCAGGAAAGTTTATAAAGTTGACTACTTCAGAAAACCTCAGCATTAATTTCCCTTAAAGAAACCATTAAGCTCTCCTGTCTGTAGTTTCCCATATCCAAAATGCATATACTATCTGATTAACCTCTTTCATAAAGTTCTTTGTAAAATTAATTATGAATAGTTACTAAAAAACATTATTAAAAAGTTATTAAAAAGCTATTATTCTACTTCTGGACCTTACTTTTGGGGCTTCAAGTTATATGTGCTAATTCTGTGCCTTTAAATGTCTTTCTCCACATGTTCGTTTACAACAATAGAAATTGGTTGTTCCTAGGATGAATTATTACTCCTTTAGGTAATTTGGGTGTGTAAGCTGGTAAGTTACTCCCACCCACGAGCCAACACACAGTGTCCCAGGGCTTCAGATGTCTCTGCACTAGTGATTTCATTCTATGTCCAGCTACCAACTGAGTTTCCATATGTCACTGTGGTAGTTTCTGATTTTATTTGCAGTTTTCAATAAGTGCTTAAGGAAAATGTAGTCCAAACTTCCATGGAGAGAAAGAGATTTGTGTAATCATTACTTATACTAAAACAGTTTGTTTTATTCCTAAATACTTTGCCAAAAGTAAATATTTGAAGAGTGCTCCATTTAGTATAAACAAGGCAGATACAGTCAGATGGCTTTCCAGAAACGATATCTTCCCAAAGAGTTGATACCAAAGAAAAACACTACTCTGAGCTACAGAAATGAGGTATGTTTGTGATTGATGAATCTCCACTTGGGAAAAATTATTCTTCTAGCTTTGTCATTTGAGTTATGTCTTCCATAGTCATGGTAGTATACCTTTTATTATTATGATTATGTGGCTTTCTTAAGAGTGTAATATACTCAAGGAATTTGAGGATCTTTGATTACACAGTCTGCTACCCATCCAGGAAGATTTGGCCCAGAGATCTGTGCTGAAATACGTGTCACTGTATTACACTGCCTGGCATAGCCACAGAAGTACTTAAGAGTGGGTATGTGGCTGGCATTGGCATCCCTTTGAAGAGTTCCAACACTGAGTAGACAAGTGCTGGGTCCACAAGGTCTAAGAATAACCCACAGAGAAATCTCCAGAAATGCTGCTCTGTGTTCCAGCATTGAGGCAGTGGATGGGTATCCCTGAGAGCGTGAGTCAGAAAGGCCCAATGGTACAAGATGAGCATCTAGGACAAAGAGCACAGCTGTCCTAACATACACCACCTTCTTAGGTCCAAGGCTGCCCATCAGCTTCACTTCACAGTCCAATGTGACATTCCTATCATTTATTAATGAATCCATAGCCTGTTGAAAATTATGACTTGTGTTTGTCTTCTGGTTGGGAGAAATGTTCCTTAAGGCAATTTTTGAAGTGATTAAAGTCAAAACCAGCAAATGTGAGCTAAGAAATCAATTCAAAATATTTTAACACACCCTCACCACTAACTGAGCCAATGAAAATACCTAAAATGATTTTATAAGTTAGCTATTGATTGTGATCAGTGTCATACAATTACTTTTGTAAAAAATACCTCTCATGCTTGCTCAGGAATGAAGGCATTAATCTGTCCATGAAGAGTAGTTACTGAATCGGAGTTTTGAGAATCCTTGGAAGCCAAAAACTTTGTTCTAATCTTTAATTTATGGTGCATTTTTAGTATATTCTGGTCTGAAACATCTGAAAGATCTTCAGTCTATAAATGTGATAGAATATGTAGCTGGACAGGGTATTGGACAGGGTGGTACACACCTGTAATCCCAGCTTCTCGCCAGGCTAACACAGGAGAATCAACAGTTCAAAGACAGCCTCTGCAATTTATCAATAACCTGTCTCAAAATAGAAAAGAAAATTAAGGGCTGGAAATGTGACTCAGTAGGAAAGTACCTCTGGGTTCCATCCCTAGTACTGGAAAAATAAACTGAAAGAATATGTGGTAGGCAAATTCATGCCCTGCCCCCTCCACATCCTAATCCATGGAAGCTGTGAATATGTTATTTTACATGGCAAAAGAAACTTTGCACATTAATTAAGGTTAAGGCCTTGAAATGTGGAGATTATCCTGGATTATCTGGTTTGGACCCAATTTAATGACAGAAGTCCTCAAAAGCAAAGTTTTTTTTTTTTTTCCTGGCTGTTGTCGAAGAGAACTATGACTACAGAAGAAAGATTGAAGAGATGCAATACTGATAGCTTTAAGGATGGAGGAGAAGACCATGGGCCTGCTGGTACCTTGATTTTAGTTTATTGGGACGCTTGTTAGACTTCCAATCTACAGAACTAAATGATTGTTAATTTATGCTGTCTTAAGCCACTAAGTTTGTGGTGAATTGTTGCATTAACAGTAAAAGTCTATTGTAGAATGAGTGAGCAAAATACTTTGAGTATGTATAATAAAATGATGAATAACTATAGTTTGTTTTTTTAATTAAAAGTCAATAGGCCACATATAAACCAATATTTCTTTATTTCAGAGTGATAAAGGAGTCTCAGTGCATCAATAAATATGTCTTGGATGCACATTCTTTTTGTATCATCAAAGGGATAAGATGGTGTTTAGAATGAAAGTAAAGCTCTCTTAGCTAGTTCAAGTTGCAAAGTTCAGAAAAAAATGGTGCAGTTATTTAGTTTTGATTTGGATCTGTGTGCTGAGACAGTGTACTTTCAAAGCCATGTAAGACCATAACCTACAGTTTAGCATTCACAGAAAAAAAAAGGAATTCATCTCTAATCGTACAGCAGTTCCAAATTGCTGGGCATGCCTTGGACTAAATCCTCACATATTCTATTACCAGCCAGCTCTATCCCACTTCAGTAAGGATCAGCCTCACTCTTTGCATCTTCAAAGTACTTGAGGGATTTAGCTGAAAAGGCTTCCTTTAAGAGAAATTTTACACAACTGATTTCTACTTTAGCTCCAGGAGTTTTCAAAGCAGGAAAGTGAATATTTTCACATTTGATTGCTAGTCTTATACTTAGTTATGTACTTGTTTGTTCCAAGAAGGGGTTCTTAAAAGTGACAGGTTTATATGTGCTGGAGTGACTGTAGTTTTTGCAAAGCTGTTGTTACTTTTTTTCATGGTTAACTGGCCTCCTCTTAAGTATCCACAGTCTCTTTGTGAACGAAACTATATTTTTTTCTGAATTTGTGCAATTTTCATCCAAACTTGTGCTTGCTTTTCTGCACCTCTCAAAATAATATTTAGTGTTATAGAACTAATCTGCTTAAGACTAAATGAATACTGTGCTTATACCTAAACACCATGTGGCAACTAAATTCTGAGTTCGAAAAAAAAATAGATTCTGCCTGGATTCTAGTCTTCTTCTTGCTTCATATGCCTAGAGCAGTCTGTGTTTCTGTCCTACTTTTACAATTTAGACCTTGGGATTTATAAGTTTAAAATGTATCTTTTAAGGAAAAAGAAATATATAATACACTTTCTATTTTTAAACCCAACAGTTGCTCCTGATGACCCCAGCAGAAAAATAGATGGTGATACCATTATTTTTTCAAATGTTCAAGAAAGATCAAGTGCAGTTTATCAGTGCAATGCCTCTAATGAATATGGATATTTATTGGCAAATGCATTTGTAAATGTGCTCGGTAAGCTCTCCCTTTATTAAAGACATGGCAAATTAAATTAATGTCTACTATTATTTTCTACTCACTCAGCAAAAATATATTGAGCTTCTATTAGATGCAATGCACAGTTCTTGGAACTATAAGGAATATATGAAGGTGGATAAGATAAAATATTTGGCCTAAAGAATATCAGTCAAGTCTTAATGTTCTTTCATAACACAGTTGGCATAATGGCAATTTTTCATTGTAGAAAATGATCAAATAGGCTAGTCCATTCACAGATGATTACAGTGTTTAATCCCCCAAAAGGAAAATAGCTTTTGTCTGCCATTAGCAACTAAATAACCCTGCTCTTCTATCCTTAGAAACTGACTATTTGAATAACAATTTCATGATTCTGAGTTTTTGAAAATGAACTATTAATTTTAATGCTTGGCCATTATCCAAATCATAGATGTACATTAACTTAATTCATTAAAATATGTTCAGAAAACTATGACAATGTAGAACTCACGCATATTTTGAAATGGGTGGTTTATGTGAAGGTTGCATTTCTCATACTGGGCAAAAAAAAAATCCACACTTGTTCAAATTTATGCAAAAGTGTTCTTATGGTACCAAGCAGTCATACTTCAACTCTTAAGATTACTCTTCTCTCTTTTCAAACAAAATTAATACCAGGAAGCTGATCGATACTTATTATTTTTCTTCATGTTGAAATGAAGGTGATTAATCACATAGCTAAGTGGTTAAGATATTGGTGGATGTTGAAGCTTTGACTTCTGTTTTTTTGTTTGCTTTTTTCTCTCTACTTCTATATATTCCATTTTAGTTTCTTCATATAAATGATATTCTGCAGTACTTGTCTTTCTGAGTCTGGCTTGTTTCATTTCTCATAATGTCTTCCAGTTTCACCCATGTTGTCACAAATGACAGAATTGGCTTCTTGTTTAATAATAGCCCTTCTAATAGTTATCCGGTGATAGGTATGTCATTTTGGTTAAAGTTGGCATTTTTCTGATGATTGGTGATCTTGAGCATTTTTTAATATACCTCTTGGTCATTTGCATGTCTTTCTTAGTTAATTTAGGTCCTTGGCTCATCTTTTAATTGAATTATTTGTTTTCACATATCATTTGAGTTGTTTGAGCTCCTTATATATTTGTATGTTAGTCCCTCACCAGATGTATGGTATATAAACATTCTCTCCCTTCTGTTGATTGTCTCTTCACTGTGTTTTCTTGACTGTAAGAAGCTTTTTAGTCCTCTCTCTATATAAGTCACCACACTCATCACTCTGATTTTTATATCAGCTTATTTGTTCCTCACCATTCCCACCCAGTGGGGTGATGATGCATCAATCATTCAAAGAAAATACATTAGGCCATTATTTTTGTGCCAGACACTGTGCTGAGGACAAAAAGAAAGGAATTTTTTTTTTCCCACCACGACTGGTAGTGTCATACCCGATAGGAACATAAAGGAAGAAACATATTGGTTGTGCTATACCATAAACTTTAATGACCTTAATACAAAATGCAGTAAATACACTGTAAACCTAAAATGTGTTCTAATACTCATTGTGCCGTTTAAATGTTTTTAGCTGAGCCACCACGAATCCTCACATCTGCAAATACACTCTACCAGGTCATTGCCAACAGGCCTGCTTTGCTAGATTGTGTCTTCTTTGGGTCTCCTCTGCCTACCATTGAGTGGTAAGTAGTGGCCCTATTTGTTGATAACCACTTGCATTTGCTAAAGCTTTCACATTTTTAACATGCTGGGCTTTAGTCAGAGAACAAACAGGAGAAACACATTGCAAAATCCATCATACTATTAACCATTGAATTCATTCATTCATGCACAAATATTTATTAACTTCTTGTTCTGTGCTACATACTTTCACACATATAACCTATTTAGCAGCACATTCTACCAACCACAAAGCTAGTAAATGTGTTTTTTTTTTAAATTTAAGATTTAAGGTTGCTTTATTTTAAATGCCATGAACATCACCTGGGACTTCATGAACAGTGACTGGTGGCACTGGTTGGAAGTCTTCCCTTAATAATAAAACATCATGTAGTATGTGGGGGAGAGGTTATGGAAACTAAACAGAAATTATTACCACCAAGATTTCTCTGTAGTTCCTCTCCCACCAGGTCTTTCTGACTTGAGTCCAGCCAAGTTCTTCTGTGTCCTTTTACTTCCCACTTCAGACCATCCCCTGTCACACACCACTCCTGGTACACATCCTCCTCCTGGGAATACCTTGCTGACTTTTAAGAGTTGGGGAGAGACAAGGCAAGTGCTGACAATGATTGGAACAGACATTTGTGAATCATCTGTGAGGTTCCAGATTCTGTACTGGACTTCAGCTACTGAGATGAGAATGAAGCCAAGTTTAGGATTAAAGGAAAATCTCCCCAGGCCCTCACCTTAACTACAGAGAACAGAAACCAGATGCTGGTGCAAATTTCCTCATGATGATGACAAGATTCACTCTTATATGATAGTTTGAATTTCCCTCATTTTTTCTCGTTCATCTTCACTTCTGCCATGTGACATATGGTTTTTTTTAATTCTCCCTGAATATTTTTCTATTCAGACATTCAAAAACACAATCCGTATAACCTTGAAATCAAAATCCCTTTAAAATTGCAGCCTGTAGATAGAATTAAAAATACTTTACTGTGTGTATGTGGGGGGGGGATAAAAAGGAATAATCTTATCTCTACCTATTTTAGCACCTATTTATGATAAAATAGGTAATAATATATTTATTAAATTATGTATCTCTCATGAAAATTATAATTTAAGACTTACATATTATTAGCCTAATTCTGCAAACACCATTTTTATTAAATTCTCTAGTCTTGTCTTCTCTTTATGTTTACCTCCTGACATTCAAGCATCAGTATGCTTGTGCAGATTCCATTTGTCTTTGAACTTGACACTGTACTGCAGATCATGGTTGTGTTGACCTTGATCATGGCATTTTATGTTTGACTCAAATTATGAGTCATTTTATTCTCATCATGATAACTTCTGTAATGAAGGTTTAAAGGAGCCAAAGGAAGTGCTCTTCGTGAAGACATTTATATTTTACATGAAAATGGAACTTTGGAAATTCCTGTGGCACAAAAGGATAGTTCAGGAACGTATACGTGTGTTGCAAGGAACAAATTAGGGATGGCAAAAAATGATGTTCACTTGGAAATCAAAGGTAAGGCAAAAGCCAGGAATTTTTTTAAAGTATTATGTAACTTTGAGCAACTTCTCCAGCTTGGCCAATGGCTAACAATAACTGGATTTCAGATCCAACGAGGATCATCAAACAGCCTGAATATGCTGTTGTACAAAGAGGCAGCACAGTATCCTTTGAATGCAAAGTGAAACATGATCACACCTTAGTCCCCACTGTCACATGGCTGAAGGACAACAGCGAGTTGCCCAACGATGAAAGGTATTTGAAGACAATTTTTCTTTCTTTCTGTTTTCTCGCTAAGTCGTTCTTGAGCTAAAGATTTGTTGTATAGTGACTTAATGGTGATGTTTTTAATTCTGAAGTCTACTGTGTGCAAAGTAAAGAGATTTTCTCCCTACTGTAAAATATTTGGACCAAAAAGGTATTGTGCAATTGAAATCAGACCCTGAGAATGTTTGTCTAGCTTTGTGTGTGTGTGTATGTGTGTCCTATGTAATTTGGGATGGGAAAAACCCTTCAGGCTTTGGACAACATCCATTGTATTGTACCTTAAACAGCAAAGTCTCAACAGATGTTTTCAGTCCCATTCTACAAAAAAAAAAAAAAAAAAAAAGGAAAAAAAGCAGAAATATGATCTCTAAGCATCAGAGGGTAGAAATCCTTGTAGTACTTTAGTTTTTATTTGGAGAGTGAGTTTTCTTCTAATTTTTCCTAACACCATGGAGGGAAAAGGAAAAGCAAAAAACAAGTGTGTTGCAGTCCTTTAACTTGGACTTGAAGGAAAGTCATAGTGTTTTGTTTTCCAACTCAGGCCCTCAATAAACATGGTGAGTACACAGAGTTGGATATGTGCCTTAGCAATCACAGTGGCTACAGGTGTGCTGTATTCCAGTGGAAACAGTTTCCATAGTTTTCTTGCAGCTGATCTAAACCTGTGGTGCCTGAGTGGAGCCCTGCTGCTTGTGAATGTCCCCCAAAAAACCTTTTTGGCCTTTCAATCTAGTGCCCAGAGTTTCCAACTAGTTCTGTGCTTCAACTGGCCAATTCTATTTGTGGGATCTGAGCTGATTATAAAGGAGAAGGAAATATGAATAAATGACCATCAGGTTAAGTCAGGTGAACTTTAACTTGGAAATTACCTCAGAAGACAGTGTATGATTTATGTAACCTCATTAAATTCAGACAGGAGTCCTACATACATTGACTTTTGACCCACGGAGCAATTTTTCATGTCTAAGAGTAACCTCTAAAAAACTCTCAGTGGAGATTGCTGCTCTGAATCTTCCTGTGTCTAGAGCTAAGACAGATAAAATTTACTTTCTCCTATGAGACCTTATGCATGTGTTTAAAATGACACAAAATTACTGTAGTAAATAATAGATTATTTTAAAATATGCACTTTTGATAGAAATTAAGCTGAATAAGTAGTTTTCAGGTGTTTCTTAGCAGTAGCCTTAATCAAGCACTCTAGCACGGGCAACTGTGAAGCTGCCCCCACCTCACCTAAGGATGCCGGCTGGGGACTTTTATTAAAATTTCTTAAATTGACATAGAATAATAGTATTTATTTATGAGCTACCATGTGATGTTTTACCCTGGGGGCTTTGAGGCAGCTCCTAAGACACCAGAGGCTTGGTTGAAAGCCATCATACTTAATATCTCTCCTAACCCAAGATTCTTATTCATTCTAATTGTTTTTCAACTCTAACCATTACTATAGTAACACATATTATGTAGGATTCTCACTCTAATTTGCTGAAATTCTTACCATCTTTCTGTTTTGTCAAGTTCACAGTGTCTTTTGTGACAGTAAGACAGTCCTGGGGTGTGGTTGGCTATCCACTTCAGCAGCTCTGAGCGTGTTATATTCACAGGTTCACTGTCGACAAGGATCATTTGGTGGTAGCTGATGTAAGTGACAATGACGGTGGGACCTACACTTGTGTGGCCAACACAACTCTGGACAATGTTTCTGCAAGTGCTGTGCTCAGCGTTGTCGGTAAGAACCAGAACAAATACAACACAGCCCACTTCCACGTCTTCAATTGAAAAGAAAAAGGAAAATTGTAAATATGAAATGTTTGCTCATTATAGTTTTAAAGCCATAGTTTTTTTTTTCTTTTTTGAAAGATGCCTTCAAGGTGATCATTTCAGGATAAGCTCTGTAGCAGACTAGATAAAATGGTGGATATTGGAGGCATTTTTATAAGAAAATTGGGGGGAATAATCTACTTTTATTTAAAAGTTAAGGGTTTGTATTCCAAAATTGTTATTGCATGTGTATCAATGCCATATCTCACAGCTAAGCATAGGGCTTAATTTTATAAACTTAGTCATGTGCAATCTTTGTCTTCTTGTGCTATCTTGTATCTTTCCATTACTAATTTTGATTAAAATCCTTTATATTAATGTCCTTTCTAGCTCCTACTCCAACTCCAGCTCCCATTTACGGTAAACTAATATGAGTCTTCTTTCTCTATTTTCTGTCAGTTTCACATTTGCAGAAAAAAAATGTTTTTTTCTTTATCACATCATCATGTTTCTTTAAAGAATAGGGGTTTGTCAATTGTTGTGTCCTTCATTTACTGTAGTAAATCATTTCTTCATCATAACCTTAGAACTTTTTACTGAGTTTATTGCCAGTTGTTTCTAAATATTGCAGATGCTATTACAAATATCATTCCATTTGACAAAAGTTCCTCTTTGATACAGTTTTCTTGCAAAATGAGCAAGTGGCACAGGGCTTTATCAAAACCTGTCATCCATATTTTAAAGAATGAAAAATAATTCTTATATTGTTCCACAAGTTAGATTTTATTTCAGTCTATTAAAATTTGCTTTGGAAAATAAATGTTGCTTTGGGATCCATTTTCAAGAAATTTAAACAGGGAAGAAATGGATATTTAGAACATTTTTTACTTTTATGTCAGAGAAAGCTGACCCACTATTCATTCACAACAGAGAAGTCATTAGAAACCCAGAGAGAGGGCACATTAATGTCATGTAAAACTTTTCTGACTCTGGAAAATAGAAATCATTTCCAGAATTTTTTTTAAGGAAACCCTTATCTTCATTCAACACATAAATACAAAAATTCATTTTTGTGGCATAATCATAAATTGACTAGATTTTACATATATTGCTATTTTATATATAAAATGTGTCCTTGGTAGACATTTACTGCTTTACTACTTATGAGAAAGAATAACCCATATATTTATATGGCCTTGAGTTCCCCAAGAACCAGAGATACTTCCAGAAGCAAGGTTCAAAAAAGGCCCATGGCAGAGTGTTAACTCTGGATCCCAGAGGCACCATTCAATAAGGCAGCCCTGCTTCTGGATTACCTTTGTTCAACGGGTGTCCAGTGTCTGAGAGTAAACATACTATGCATGCTGAGGGCTGCTATCCTTAAGAATATAAATATTCTTCAGGACCCTCCTCAAGTCTGTCATTCAGCATGTTTCAGAAAGAACATTTGAATCTCCTTTTAACAGTACATCTGTTTGCCTGAATGTGCTTTCCAGCATTTGCTATTCTGTTCCCCATGTCTTAAAAATTAAGCTTTCACATTACTCTTTATGTTTGTGCTTTTTGTGTTTATGAGAATATGCACAACGAGAGTGCTGATGAACCTGAGCCATTTGCTTCCCTGGCTTTGGTTACAAATTACTTCATTCCATTTAAAAAGCAAGCAGCAGAGCTCATCATGGGTTGTCTTGGCTGTGCCCTGGTGTTCCAGCACCCTCAGTTGTTTCCATCTCACTTCATTTGCATGCTCATTGACCATCATGTATGCTTTGTCCTTAAGATGTCCCCTCTGAATAGCTAGTGTCATGAATAAAGAAGAACCTCTTAAAAACAGATAGCTAACCATGATGTGTGTGTTTGGTCTACAGATGTGCCAAATCCTCCCTTTGATTTAGAATTGACTAATCAACTTGACAAAAGTGTTCAGCTGTCCTGGACCCCAGGCGATGACAACAACAGCCCCATTACAAGTATGTGGTGTCATTTGCTCTATCACTGATAAGTTTAGTGGCTGTTTTGGAATCACTTTCTATTATGCAACTGCAGTTCCTCATGATGGTACTTACAGGCATTCTCTGCTTTATTACCAACAGAACTAAAAGATTTATGTATGTCTCTCTTCAGAGGTGGTATGATTCCTGGTTACAGCTTCTAGTACAGGACACTAATTTCTGAATATATCCATGAAGCAAATACACTGTCATTTTTAAGATCTGTAAGAATCACTTTAAGTTTTTAATTTTTTATATATTTATTTATTTAGGTACCAGACATCAAACCCAGGGGCATTTTACCACTGAGCCAGCACTTTCTATTTTTGTTTTGTTTTGAGACAGGGTCTTGCTAAGTTGCTTAGGGTCTCACTAAGTTGTTGAAGCTGACTTTGAACTTGTCTTTTTTTTATTGGTTCTTTTTAGTTATACATGACAGTAGAGTCCAGTTTAATAAAATTATACATACATGGAATATATCTTATTCTAATTAGGGCTCTATATTTGTGGATATACATGACGGTGGGATTCAGTATAGTGTATTCATATATGTACATAGAAAAGTAATGGGGATGTCGGCCAGCATCTCACTGGGGGTTCTTTTTCCTTTCCAGGAGGATGTAAGCCACCCTAAAACTTAAAGTCTCAAATAATTAGTGAATAATAAAACACAAATGGCCAGAAATATATTTATAAAAGCAAAGCCCCTGATAGATCTAGTCCACATGGGTGCTGAAACTAGACAAAGAAAAGATAGCTCTGGTGGTTTATTTAAGGGGGTACATCAAAGGGAGGGATAAGGTTTCAAGTTCAGAGTCTTGCTTCATGATATCTTGCAGTGAGCAGGTTGATTGACATATTGGCAGATCACACCCATCTCAGGTGCTATGTGGGATTCAGCGGAGCAGGATAGAAATTCACACTGCCCCTGAGCAATAGAACAGAGAAAATGTCCACTGGTCATTCCCAGACACCAGATGTTTCTATCCACTAGACTTCCATGTGCAGTCACCCACATGCAACCCATGGACGGTTCATGATGGAAAAGTTATATCAGATTCATTTCACTATCTTTCCTATTTCCATCTTACCTCCCTTCCCTTCAGTCCTTTTTTGTCTAATCCTCTGAAATTCTATTATTCCCCTCCCCTGCTTATGGTGGGCTAGCTTCCACATATCAGAGAAAATGTTCACCTTTTGGTTTTGGGGGATTGGCTTAATTCTCAGCATGCTTAACTTTGAATTTGTGATCCTCCTGCCTCAGCGTCCCAAGTCACAGGGATTACAGGTGTGTACCACTACTCCTGAAAATTTCTACCTCAGTAGGAAGATGCATCTTAAGTCTGTTATTCAATTTGCCCATTACTTCTGGGAGAAAAAGATAGGAGGAGCAGGTGCCAAAAGGCCCCCTCCAAATGTTAGGAAAATGAAACTCATTGAGTAAAGTCCCTTCAAATCCACAGTTCGTACCAGAACTGGGTATAGACATCAGGTCCATTAACTTCCAAATAGGTCCCTTTCTTTCCATGGCTCCCTGCTACAAAGTGGCACATTCAACAATGTCAGCTCCTCACCTTGATGCCTTAATCCCTGTGAAAAAAGTCAAATGAGGGACCAGACCATAGGATGCTGGAGGAACTTAATAAGTTAGAGTAGAAGTAATCGAGGTTTAATTGTAAAACTGAAGAGATACTACAGAGAGCAGACATAGTCATGGGCCTGAGATATGTGATTGCCTACGGGTATAGACTGCAGGAAGTTCTAATACTTTTCTGATGTTGATCTAAAATTATTCTGAAATAATAAGTGTGTTGATTTATTGCATCTCCAGGCAAAGCAGAATATTCCCAATAAAATCAACCAAATGCTTCTTTTTCTCTCTTGTATTTAGTGGTGCCTTTTTTCTCATCTGAGTTTTCAGTGTCTTAGATCAGAACAAGCTGAGTCACCAGCTAATACAACACATGACTCTGAATTAGCAGGTTAGGATTTTTTTTGGAAACTGTTTTTGCCTACGATAAACAATACTGTTAGGTTTTAAGGCATTTCTGCTCTTTCCTTCATTCACTCATTCATTCAACGGATGCTTATTGATTGCTAATTAGGTGCCAGACATTGTCCTAAAACAAAATAGTCAAAAATCTCTGCCCTTAAGGAGCGCACATTTTTGATGAGGACACACATATGATAAAAATAATATTACATCATTTTGCATAATGTTACAAATACATGCATATATGTGTACGTACACATATGCACACACACAAAGACAAAGAAATTGCTCAGTTTACTTTCAAGAGAGAACCCATTGCAGGGGATACTAGCTGACAGCCTCCATAAGCTGCACCTTTCTCAAGGATAAGTAATGTTCACAGGAGCCACACGCTTCCAGGGGCACTCCAGGAACAAGCGTAGCAAGGATTCTAGAGCTCAGCCATACCTAATGGAAAACCCGTCCAATGGGTAAACTTTATGATGGGGCTCCTTGTTGACATGACTGAGATTGTCACAGAGCTGTAGTGCATTTGGGCACTCTTCCCACTCACTCTTCCCTCCTTCCTCTCTCCCATTAGTCATCAGACCTGCACTGGTCTGAAGGTCTTTCCTGCCAACTTCTGTCTTCTCTCCCTTTCATCTTCCACGGACATTTCCCTAAACACATTTCTTTCACTTCTGTCTTAACATCTTCTTTCTAGAGAACTCAAACACGTAGGTATTTATCTATAAACATATGTGTGTGCACATGTGTGTGCATGTGTGTGTTTAGACCATCAAAAAAACATCAGGAGAAAGAGATGGGGGTGTCAGGGGTATAATTATGAATAGGGAGGTCAGGAAAGGCCACACAAAGAAGCTAACACTTAAGTATGTCAATCAGGACAGGAAGAGGAAGTCAGTGAACACACTCTGAAATTATCTGGGGAAAGAACTTTCCAAGGAAAGCAAAGGGAAAAAATAAAAGCTCTGAGACAGGGGCATGTCTGTTGGAAAGCCAGTGTGGCTGCAGTGAAATGAGCCAGAGGAAGTGAAATAGGAGAGAAGGTCACAGAGTTGAAGAGTTGGGCAGTGAGCAGGAGTGTGAATCGTGCAGGGCCTGGCAAGCCATTGTAAGGTTGGGAAGTCCTCATCATTATAAATAACTCTATTTCATTGAAAATAGTCTATAAAAGAATAAGAGGGGGAACACTGATCAGGTAGACTGTGGTTTCCGAACTGTGAACTGCAGAGAACTGTGAACTGAAGTGAACTGCTGTGAGCTGATATCTCAGCAAATTCACAGGGATGTATTAGACTAATTTCAAAGATTTGATATTTAAAAAATGGTGAAAAGCCAAGTACTGTGGTACATGCCTGTAATCACAACAGCTTGGTCGACTGAGGTCTCACAAGTTCAAGGCCAGCCTCATCAACTTATTGAGGCCCTAAGCAGCTTAGCAAGACCTGTCTTCAAATAAAACAATAAAAAGGGCTCAGTAGTAAAGCACCTCTGGGTTCAATCTTCAATACCAAAAAATTAAAAATAAAAAGTATAGTGACATCTGTCAGGCACCATGTGAAATTAGCTCGAAGTGGTTTACATTTTCAACATTATGTTGCTATGTCATATTGTGATGATGTCACATCTCTGGAAAGCATTTTTCTGTGGTAAAAAAGCAAGTGCCATGTGAAAAATCAGTATGGAATAGGAAATGAAGGTGGTGGTGTCCAATTTGTTTATTAGATTTGGGAAGTTGTGTTTAAATTGTTAAGGCATAAATACATATTAAATTGCATGGACCTAATTAGTTAATATATGAAAACATCAAATATTTCTTTTGATCTAAGGAACCTATGGGGGAAAAATTATTGAGACACCAAGTATATCATAAGCAGAAGAAGTTTTGAGAATTACTGAATTAGAAGGTTATGTAATAATTCACATAGGAGAAATGATAGTGGTTTGAAATGATGGTGAGAGGGATGGAGGTAGAGAAATGGTCAGATTTTGGATATACTTTAATGGTACAGCCTAACAGGACTCTTGAAAGTGGGAAAGAAAGAGAGATGCTAAGAAAGACTCTAAGGTTTTGACTTGAGTTATCACTACCAGTTGGGGAAGAAGATTGAACTGTTTTGTTCATATCCAGTTTGATGCTATAGTAATAGTAGACACTCAAGTAGAGTTGTTGAGTAGGAGATTGGATATTCAATTCTATGGTTCAGGGGAGAGATCTGGGCTGCAGATATAAATGAAGAAGTCATCCATTGATGAGACTAGAGATCACCAGCAAAAGAACGTAGACTGAAAGCACTCCAAGGCCTTAGCTTTAGACTACTGTAACATGTATAGTATTTCACTTTTGTATTTTCAGTTGACATCATGATACCTACACATAGTAGGCAATCAATAAATGCCTAAATAAACATTTTTACAAAAGTAAACAGTAACATACCACAAATTTTTAGTAGCTATAGAGGGTTTAACTGAAAAAGTGCATCTTCCTTCTGCTCCTGACTGCCAGCTCCTCTGACCGTACCAAAATTATCAGTGTCTATCCTCTGTGAAATTAGCTTGAGGTGGTTTACATTTTCAACATCATGTTTCTATGTCATATTGTGATAATGTCACATCTCTTGAAAGCATTTTCTGTGGAAATGTGAACACATTTATTCAAAATAAATTGATAAAAGAGCAATTTCTGTAAGCGTAAATGTGTTAAATATTTTTAGATTTTCCAAGTTGTCCTGTATAGAAGTTGTACCAATTTACACTTCCCATGAAGTCTGAGAATGCTTCTTTCCCTCTGAGACGTGGTACATGTATATCCAAGTGAACATGGCTTTGTGAAATGTTCTTTTATACAAATGGTTGTATTCAGCACACACTCTTTTATAACACGCTTGGTTTCACTTAAGACTGTGTTTGGAAGTCATTGTTTTAGTACATATGAAGCAACCACACTTATTTATAACATGAAGAATATTCCACTGCATGGATGGACCATATTTGATTTAATCAATGGCCTACTGGTGGATATTTAGCTTGTTTGCAAACAGATAGTTTCAATTGCAAACAATGTTACAATGTGAATTATTTTTCATGCATCTTGAACAATATGCATGAATACATTTATTCAAAATAAATTGATAGAAGTGCAATTTCTCTAAGAGTACATATGTTAAATATTGTTAAGATTTTCTAAATTGTCCTGTATAGAAGTTGTACCAATTTACACTTCCTGTGAAGTCTGAGAATGCTTCTTTCTCTCTGTGGCAGTCAACAAGATGTGTTAAGCCTTTGATTGTTGTCAATATGTTTAGTAAAAAGTGACACCTTATTGTATTTATTTTAATTCCTTCAATTATGAAAAATTGATCATCTTTTCATATATTTAAACTTTTCCTTGGAGTATATGGATCAATTCTAAATAGTTTTAACTAAACTAAACTCAGCATGCTAGAGAAAGAATACTAGGTACTATTGAGTGCACTTTGGTATTGAGGGTAATGAAAGAACCCTAAAATAAAAATATTCTAATGAATTTTTTTTCAAAGCAAACTAATCCATGTTTGGCTACTCTTTTTTTTTGGTAGGGGAGTACCGAGGATTGAACTCAGGGGTACTTGGCCCCTGAACCACATCCCCAGCTCTTTTTTGTATTTTATTTAGAGACAGGTTCTCACTGAGTTGCTTAGTGTCTTGCTTTTGCTGAGGTTGGCTTTGAACTCACAATCCTCCTGCCTCGGCCTCTCTAGCCGCTGGAATTACAGGGTGCACCACTGCACTTGGCTTGACTACTCTTGATTGCCCTATTACTTATGGCTACAACTTACCCCTAGGTTGACTGAAATCACTGTCTTGGGTTTGTGGTGTGTGTGTGTATGTGTTATGCCCAGAATTCATCATTGAATATGAAGATGCAATGCATGAGGCAGGGCTGTGGCACCACCAAACTGAAGTTTCTGGAACACAGACCACAGCCCAGCTGAAGCTGTCTCCTTATGTGAACTACTCCTTCCGAGTGATGGCGGTGAACAGCATCGGGAGGAGCCTGCCCAGTGAGGCGTCTGAACAGTATCTGACAAAAGCCACAGGTAGGGTGGACTTCAGGGATATGAAATAGAATACAGAAGTTTCCCACTCTTTGCAAATGACCAAAGCTTACACATATGTGGCTGCTTAACTTCTAGAACCAGATAAAAATCCCACGGCTGTGGAAGGACTGGGTTCAGAGCCTGATAATTTGGTGATTACATGGAAGGTGAGCTATGAAGCTTTCAACTTTCCTCAATCTTTTTAGAGTGAAAAGAAAAAGTTGTTTTAAAATAATTTCTTCTTCATTAAAATCCAATTTCACACATTCATCTTTATTTAAGAGGCATTATTGTGTAGTAGTTAAAAAGGTTGATCCCTGAAGCCAAAACAAATGAGTGCAAATCCAGCTTGCTACTTATAGTACGATCTTAAGCCAGTTGTTGAACATCTGTTAGGCATCTGTATAATGAGAATAACAATAGAAGCAACTGCATAAGATTAAAGGAATAATACATGTAGAACATGTATAATGCCTAGCACATATATGTATTCAAAAATAGTAGCTACTATTGTCGTTATTATAAGATAACTACCTGAAGCACATGCATCAAGCTATTGATTTATTAGTAGTAACAGTAATTATGTATTTTTTTGGATTTGGAAAATAAAATATTAACTCATATAATCCTTAAACCTTAGTTACTTACATATACTTATATGTATACAAATATGTACATACTTATGTATATACATATATATATATATACACAAATATATATATTATTTTAGGATAGTATGACAGGTTAACTTTATTTAATAAACAGGGCAATAGTTCATAAGTTTCAGTCTTCAAATAAAACAGGTAATTATATACTATCATACAAACAGAAATGTATAAAGGAATCTAGAAACTGAAATGTTTTAAGACTTACCCACCCTTGGCTATGCAGTCAGGCTTTGAACGGTTTTTGTGGTATTTACTGCTTTAAGATAGTAATTTGCAATCTTTGAAATGTTGATCCCAAACAAGTCTTAAATCTCATCACAAATGAAAAAAAAAAAAAAAAAAGATAAGAGGTCCTTGGAGAAAATGGTGAATAGCTTGTATTTCAGTGTCTCAATTCTTGCTTTAAGTCTGGGAATTGGATTTGTTGTTCCCATAAAAGGTTATGCAGTCGATTTGTTTTGTAAGCTCAGGTTCTTTGGCTTTTCCTATAGCCCCTGAATGGTTTTGAATCTAATGGGCCAGGCCTTCAGTACAAAGTGAGCTGGCGCCAGAAAGATGGTGATGATGAATGGACATCTGTGGTGGTGGCAAATGTATCCAAATATATTGTCTCCGGCACACCAACCTTTGTCCCATACCTGATAAAAGTTCAGGCCCTGAATGACGTGGGCTTTGCTCCAGAGCCAGCTGTAATCATGGGACATTCTGGAGAAGACCGTAAGTGTCTCCTACCATTTCCTTTTTACTCTTCCCCAGCCAAAGAAACCTACCAAGGTGTAAACCAAGGCCATTTCCAAAGATGCTTAGGTTTGCAAAGGAGAAAGGTGAAATTATTTTGTTTAATTACTCTGAATTTAAGTTTGCTATGTAAGAAATAGGAGAGGCTCAGGGCTGGGACTGTCTATACCTCAGTAGTAGAGTGCTTGCCTAGCATGTGAAGGTCCTGGCTTTGATTCCCCAGAACCACATACACCACACACACACACACACACACACACACACACACACAAAGAAGTTCAGAATGTAAGAAAGGGATTACTTTAAAAAAAATGTTGTTCTCATAAAGATAACCAAAAATTCAACTTTCAATCCTGAACAGTCCTTAGAATAAGATTCTATAGAATCTATAAAATAGGCTGGGACATGTTTCAGATAAAAATTATTAGAGATAGAGACATTTTTTTTTTGCATGAAATTCAAAATAACACTGATACTTCTACTCCCTTCCCCTATCCTTTTTCTAGTCCCTATGGTGGCTCCCGGGAATGTACACGTGAATGTGGTGAACAGCACCTTGGCGGAGGTGCACTGGGATCCTGTACCTCTGAAAAGTATTCGAGGACACCTACAAGGCTATCGGGTAAGTGGTGGGAGACATTTCATGGTCTCCCCTTAGTAACAGGATATTGGCAAATGCCACTTGTCACACACACTGTATAACGTTGGAATTATTTGGTTCCTCTCCTCAGGAGCTGTTGAACTCAAGAGCTCATTTGTTTATTGCCTCAGGCAAGGCTATAAGACCCCCCAGCTAGAATTAACACCAAATATCACTCTTCCAAAGAGAGAAAAAAAAGTTGTCACCATTTTTTTCCAATAGATGATCCAAATCTAACATTGTGACAACTGAACAATGTGTACAAAATGAGGAAAAGTAATTTTTAAAGAACTAGAACATATTGAACTGTACTCATTTCAAAGTAATATGAACCACATGTATTGAACACACAGTTATCCTGATAATAATTTAGGCATTTTTAAAAATAATTCAGATTATATTTTAAGATCATATAAACCAACTGGGTCATTCTTATGAACATCAACTGTATTTGTTCTTGGGATGCATAGGAAAAAGGATTCATAGAGATTGATAGAGAGCAAAAGAAACACACACACACACACAAACACGCAACACACACACACACCATTGTTTTGTTAACACTGCCTCCTAGAGGCCACTTTTTGTACTGCATTATGTTCATTTTTCCCCACCTAACATGGGCTAGATTCTGTATTATACATGTCGGCTTGTCTTGAAAAATGCCTTTAAATTCCTAAGAAAAATTGAGGAATTTAATAAACAACAATTATGTTAGTTAGCAAAGTTAACACTTTGTTTACCTATTTCTCCAAAACCTGTGTCTAATAATTTAATATTAAAAATAAGCATTTTTTTAAAGTGATATAGCTTGACCTAGTAGAAAAGCTCTAAACTTGCAATAGAAGATCCCCTGTGGCTTTGGGACAGTCACTCAGTAACCCAGAAACTCACCTACACTGTAAAAAATAATAAAAGCCTCATTGTGATTTTTTAGGGTCAAACTAAATGATTGTACATGAACATGTATTAACTCTGGAAAAATACATAAACACTGGTTAATAATTTTATTTTTAGAATAATTTATATAATAAAAGACTTAAATAATTTTTATTGTCTATTCATTTGCCTCATGTTCTGGAGAGAACCTTACTAGTTTCATGCTATTTCATTTATTTCACTTATACTTCTGTAACAAAATAGTATGACCCAGCTATTCCTCTTGCCTCAGAATCAATATCCATCAGTTTTGCTACTAGTTTTCTTATAAAATGCACCTCAGGAATTTTCTGGGAAAACAAGTATTTTTGTGAGCATGGGGAATCTTGTTTCCTCCCTGTGCATCCTTGATTTTTGTTTTGTTTTACCATTTCAGATTTACTATTGGAAGGCACAGAGTTCATCCAAAAGAAACAGACGCCACATTGAAAAAAAGATCCTCACTTTCCAAGGCAGCAAGACTCATGGCATGCTGCCTGGGCTGGATCCCTTCAGCCACTACACATTGAATGTCCGTGTGGTCAATGGGAAAGGGGAGGGCCCAGCCAGTCCTGACAGAGTCTTTTCTACTCCAGAAGGAGGTATGGAGGGGGGCATGCCTCTGAGATCCAGGAACATATGGCCTACCCTGAGAGGTTTTACCTGACAGTTGGGCCTCCGAGTAAAATATGTTCTGGACGCCAAATGTGGTTTTCCTAGAGATAAGCACAGCACACACAAAAGGTGGTAAAGTCACTCCTATGTGGCCTAAGGATTTGAAGATTTCATATAACTCTGGACATTTTAGAAGGCTCCAGAAGGGAGCCTAAAGGGCTCTCTCCATTCATTTAAAAATTTTCTCCATTGCTTACACTATCTGAAAACTTGCTAATTTGATGATTATTTGGGTTATTAGCTTTCTGACCTGAGGCACATTTTGTGACTTCTCTAAGTGTCAGTAGCCTCATCCAAAAAGCATGAGATCTAAATGTGATACTTAAGAAAAATGTTGAGAAAGGAAATCATTTCTAAGAGTTGTGGTTGACTTCTACAGCTTCTTTCTTAGTGCACTTTCATAATTTATTATGAAGTTGAGCTAAATTAGAAGGTGAAAGTCTTGACCAAATGAGTTGGAAAAATGAAGGAAAAGTCAAAGCCCCTGCAAGTATGGACCACTGCAGGAGAGCAGCAAAGGAAAATCAAATGTATGTGGATGGAGGAGAAGGCAAAAAGAAATTTGGGAAGAAGAGTGTGGGACCCTAGTGGGTGAGGCAGAGAGGGGATCATATACTAAGAAGGAGAGAGATTCAAGAAGGCACTAAAGTGGGTTTGATCTATTTTGAATTTTGCATCAAGTCAGACATAATAAGGGGCCAGATAGCTTCTGTGAATACCTTAATCTTTTTGATAAAATCAGTTCTCAAATGCATGCTGTCCTGGCTCCTGGTTGAGGGCTCATGATGTGGCAGCTGCCCAATAGCCTCTGAGTCCTGAGTTCCCATCCCACAATTGCTTGTCTTTGATCTCACTTCCCTTTAGAGAGGCAGTGCTTCTTCCACCCAAGGTTTTCACACTGGTCCTTTGGATGGCTCAGGGGAAGGTGTCATAGAAGAAAAAATTAGAGGTTTAAAGGATAAAGAAGAAAGGAAGTGATGTGACTGACACAAAGCTCTGAAATAGTAGAGCTCCTATAGGAAACTACAGATTGCATGGTCATAAGTGGTAAGAAAAGGAGGTCAGCAAGGGAGGCCCCACATTGTGCATGGTTTGGGATGCTATGAATATGAAACTGGTCCAGAGGCTCTTATCCTGTAGACTATAATCCCTCAGGGGGACAATTTCAGCTTATAAAAAGCTCCTTGAGCCTCCTTAAATTGTAGGCAAAATGTATGCATATTTTTCTAGGGAGAGAGTTTCTGGATGTAATCAGATTCTCAAAGCGCTTTGTGATCCCCAAAAGTTAAGAACCACTTATTTATTTGAGGGAGCTTAGAAGCTTGTAACTATATACCAGGCATGGTTATAGATAGACCTGGCAAAGGAGGAGAAGTGAGAAAGAAGAAGAGAGGAGAGTATGGATATGGTTGAAGTTAAGAAGGTGAAGTTGCCAGGAACTAGTGTCTCAGGAGATGGAGGAAATGAGGCAGAGAGAAAAATCTAGGTAGACTCCCTGGTTTCTGGCTAGAATAAGGATGGGGGGGGGCGCATTAATGCATTTGTAGGGAAAGCAGCCATCAGGAAGGAGAGGTGCCACCATCCATCATTCCCATGAGGAAGTAAATAAAAGATGAGGATGTTTCCTCTGGCCATTTGACAGTCTCTGCTATAGAAAACCCAACACTCATCAGGCCTTTTCCAGGGCCAGGGGTGTGCCAGCCTTGGGCTTTTGTCCATTAGCACCAGATCCTGGGCAGCTGTCAGCTCTCAGGGTATGAGTGGCTCTGCACCTGGGTAGGCTGGCGTGGGCCCAAAGCTCAGCAGGAAGAGTGTCAATTGTTTGGTGACACCTGGTTTTGCTGGGGAAAATAGTTCTTAATGACCCAGAATTCAGCTGTTTCTCCTCAGAGGTCTGGTAAAGTCAGTTTTGCATAGTAACCAGTTTGCTTTTATTGTGACACACCCTCTATAAATCAAGTAAATACTATGTCCTTTAAAAATATTTGATTTAAGTTTATATAAAGGCAGTCATTTTGTATTTTGAGAGAAAAAATGGTTTTCATGAGTTTAAATGGAAATGGTTAGAGAAAAAGAAGACAATAAATAGATTCCTGGCACAGATTTGTATTAATGTATTTTCAACTGAATCAAGCACAAGATACTGAAAACCAAAGCTTTAAATCTATTATGTAAACATGAAAAAAAATTTGTTATTTTAATACATATTGAAGTGTTTAATACTTTTGAATTGACTATGTGTTTTCATTAAAAGTCCCCAGTTCGCCTTCATCTTTGAAGATTGTTAATCCCACACGGGACTCTCTCACTTTGGAATGGGATCCACCAAGTCACCCAAATGGCATTTTGATTGAATACACCTTAAAATTTCAGCCAAGTAAGTTATTGGGAGAAAGAAAAGAAGAAATATGTGTTTAAAAAACCATATTTAACTGTTATCTTAAAATATAGGCTTTTATTTTATATCTGTAGAATATATACATGTACCTTCAAGTACTGGTTACAGAAGGAACTTCAAATCTAACTTTTTAAAGAAAAATTATATATATATATGTGTTATCAAAAATTAAGTACTCAGTGGAATAATACAGATCTCTGATGGTAGGATTGGGGGGAGGGGTCCAGTAATTAGATTAGGTAGGCATTATCTCTGAATATAAAATGTTAAAATGAGGTTCCTTTGACTCAAGGTTGATAAAAGAAAGATTTGGGGTTATTTAACAACAGGTGACTCCACCTGCAAAAACAGCATAAAACATGCTATTAATGATTCAACCATAAAATTCTGCTAGTTTATAAACTAAAAGAAAACATTTTTCGTGTTATGTGCATTGTACTCTACTATACTATTTTATACAGTATAACATTATAAAAGCTATAAAAATTATACTTAGTTATGTTAGGCAAAGAATGAGTAGATTATGAAAGTCATTGTAAACCAGGATGGATATTTTTGCTTGACACAATTATTTAAAAGTAATTCTGTACAATTAATGGGGAATGAACTTGTTTGTTATTTCTTATTGACAGTTAACAGTACCCACGAATTAGGCCCTCTGATAGATTTAAAAATTCCTGCCAACAAGACACGCTGGACTTTAAAAAATTTAAATTTCAGCACTCGGTATAAGTTTTATTTGTGTGCACAAACATCAGCAGGGTCAGGAAGTCAAATTACAGAAGAAGCAATGACAACTACCGATGAAGGTAAGATGGGTATGTATAAAATCCATATAATTATAAGTATCATGGAATAAAAATCTTTAACTTCAGTTTATGCTTTCTCTTTTCTGCTTACTGTAGAGTATCCATTTGACCTAATTAATAGAAACACTTGTAATTTCTCATTCCAATATATAGTGAAATCAGTAGTTCATATTGGAATAACTATTTGGTGTCTTTTTCAAGCCTACATGAAAAAACTTAAAATGTTTGGAGTGGGAATAAGAAATTACAATATTTGCCATACCTGAGTTCAAAGTTCAAGGCAATGTTTTTTTCCTGAATGTAACTTTATATGCACACATGCACATATGAACTCATACCTGTAATACATATATACACACATGCTGCATACCCATATATATGCAATTCTAGTTCTAATCATGATTCACTGGAAATAATTTGCTAGTCCACATATTGATTTAGTTTTTCTAGTAAATAATCAAGACAGTTATTCAATAGTGTGTTTATTTTGTGTTTGAGCAATGGATTTAGTATTTTGGCGTGTCATCTGGTAAAGAGAAAGCAAAATAGCTCCACTAAAGTACATAGAAAAGGAATTAAAATTTTCTCTACTTATTTAAAAAATCCTTCTGAAAATTTTAGATTTATTGAAAATGATCAAAAATATTGTAAAAGATTTTCTGGTTTTGCATGTCTCTAAAGTATAAAAATGCTTAAGGATTATTCAACTGATTATATTCCATTGCAAAAGAAATTAACATTTTTATCCAAAATTTGGTTCAAAATATAATAAGCCTTCTTACTAACAAGTATGAATAATGCACATAAAGTAATGTGTGGATTTGCATACTGGGTAAGTTTGGGGACACCAACATAGTACTGTCCCCTGTACCTGATGTGGTACAATTCATTCTTCTTGCATGCATTAGCTTTTTATAAGTGTTTTTTGTATCTATACATGCTCATGGGTGTGTTACATCTAACTATATAGTGTCCTATTTCTGTTTCCCTTCATTGAAGCTGGTATTCTTCCACCTGATGTAGGTGCAGGCAAAGGTAAAATAACTCATCTGCATGACTTTATACATGTGTTTAATTTGCAATGTTAAATGTGGGGAAGTGCAGCATGAGTAAAAAAATAAAATAAAATATGCTTGGAACCACCAAAAGAAGAAGATCTTGACTGATCATGGCTTTAAAATTAATTTCTAGTCATTTTTACAAGTAGAAAGCCACATATTAAATTCTCCCCCCAATTTTTTTCTCAACTTATCCCTGGTGCAAATCCTAATCTTAGCTTTTCATAATATAATTTTGGCTGGATCAGACAGGACCAAAACTGTGGATTTGTCACAGACCAATGGGGCCATGTCACTTATCAAGAATTTAGGCTTGTTAGTCCTGTGGTGAAACAACCTGTGAGGGATTAGATCAGCTGAGCTTCCTTCTGCCATCTGACTTAGCTGCACTCCTTATAAACACAGCGTACACTTGACTGGCGTGACACAACACTGTGTGCTTAGAACACCCTATGACTGGTTTGGGACTGTCTCTCACTGTATGGCTTACAAGTGGATCTTCCAGTCAGCCTGCATGCTCTGCTCAACTGTGTTACTCCATCCTGTCTTCACCAAACTGCTTACCTCTCCCACTTCTGAAATATAGAAACAATTCTGAGTGGATGCCTGTTGTTCTCCTTTATGTCTGATAGCTCTCTGTGTCAGAAAGCCTTGTTGGGGGAATGGTGCTTGATTAGCTGTTTGTTATATGTCTTTCACCTATGGAAATACCAAAGATCTCTAGCCTTTGATGCCTGGCCATTGGTTCAGTTCTTAAGACAGCAGCAGAGTCCCTGCCACTAGGTAGAGGTTTCAAGTGAGGGACCTACAATAGGGGCTCTTCCCAGGCATGTAGCAGACAAATGAATACAAATAGGGTGAAGGAAAGAAGAACAAAAGCAATAAGAGTTTAACCCAAAATTGCTCAGTCCTTGTGAGCTTAAGTTGGATGTATTTCTTTTCTTTCCTTAAAAATTTGCTTATATTCAGACACTTGGTAAATTATAAAATGTGTGTCATATTTTAGAGAGTTTGAATAGAACTGTAGCTATTTTCAGTGCTCTTAATAATATTGTATTTGTTGTTTAGACTGTAAAGGACAAAGTTGTAAAAATTCAGAATTCCTACAATATTGTAGAAAAAATGTATGCTTATTTTATTTTATATGTATGCTTCTATTCCAGGATTAGGTATATATTGAAAACATTAGTTGTTTTGTAATAATTTATTGCTCTATAATTGTAATTGAAGCTGGGCTTCTTTGTGCTGTAGCTGTATATCAGAGAAAGTGCATCAACAGGGCCACCTGTGTAACCTGTCTGAATTCTGTCTGAATTTTCCATTGACTTTTCATATTTGAAAAGGATATAAATTTCACAGGGAAAAAACACCACCCCCTATTTTAAAAACTATAACTAAAAGAAATCTTTATTAAGAGTTTGGAGCCAGGCACAGTGTTGCATGCCTATAATTGCAAGTACTCAAAAGGCTGAGAAAGGAAGATCACAAGCTCAAGGTCAGACTCAGCAGTTAGCAAGGCCCTAAGCAACTTAGTGAGACCCTGTCTCAAAATTTTTTTTAAAAAAAGCTGGGGATATAGCTCAGTTTTAAAGCACCCCTTAGGTTCAATCCCCAGTACCATAGGTAGGTAGGTAGGTAGGTAGGTAGATAGATACATAGATAGATAGATAGATAGATAAATAGATAGATAGATAGATAAACAGACAGACAAATAAATAAATTTAAAGAGTTGGGGGTTGGGATTCTACTATTGGGTGTTATTGCCTTGAATTGTGAGTTATTTATGATTATAGAACAAGGAAAAATGGAGTGTCTAAAGCTCATTAAGTCCCCAATATAAAATCAGGATCTTCAACTAAAAGGAAGAATAATGTTTAAGTAAGAAGAAAAAGCTAAATCTGACATTGCTTACATAAAATGATGGTATGATTTAAACTGCTCAGGCACATTTTGTAATTCTGAGTTTCCTTCCTTAAAATATGTTTTTCAATCTAACAAGAAATTCCATCCTCATCTATATTTCCCTTTTCCATGCAGAGTAGATGTTCTCTAAAAGGAGGAAAATGAAAGTTCTTCACAATCCTCCCAATTTTTATTTTTAATGTGTTTTATATTTTAATTTAAAATGGTATAAGAGTTAGAATTCTGTACGATAAAAGTAGCCAAACAGCATAACCTTAGGAAATTGTAATATCTGGGTTCCTTTAAGAATAAGCCAAATGTGCATTTCCTGTATCAATACTTTAGTACTAACTGTATATAATAATACATTGGATCTTTAAAACTAAAAGCTAAATGCTTTTCCATTAAGAAGTATTTCACTATGGTTCTTCATTGAACATCTTCTATAATTACTTCAAGACTAAACTCCCCAGTTTTGTGATTCTAAAACTTTTTAATGGAACTTAATGGTTCGCCTGGGTTCTTTGCCACCGATATTTTACACACATGCCCCTATGACCCTCTCTGTTGATTAATCATATTCCTGTCATTGTTTATTTATTTAAAAAGAAGGTGTCAGGAAACTAAAATTAGTTACTGCATAATTTAATAATCAAATTTTCCTCTCTGTTATTGCATCTGATAATTAATACAAAGAGGCACAAAAGGAACATGTGTTGTTGAATTCTATTTCAGAGGTCAAGTTTTTTTATTTCACTTCTTTATTGAATTCTATTTCAGAGGTCAAGTTTTTTTTACTTCACTTCTTTAATATACATATGGTTTTGATGCTAAGAAATACTATTTCATTACATTTGTTTCTGCACAAGTGTTTAGCTTCTAAATTATATAGCAAATTTTAGAATCTTAGAGTCTGAGTAAGCCATTGATGCTTTCATTAGTGGGTAATAAATTAATAGATAACAAACTAATCTTATTTTTAATGATGTAAGTTACTTTTCTGTAAATTTATCATTTTTGGTTTAAGATATTGAGATCGGGCTGATAGAATTGTCAGTCTCAGGATATTCAAATAATATTTTTAATCACTTGAGATGCCTTTACTCAGCAAGCTGATAGTACCATATGCACTGTGTACTTTGGATTTTTAAGGAGATAGTTGTAGTACATTTTTTGAGAAAATGCTATGTAACCAAAGGTTAACAGGTAAGATCATCTTGCCTTCTAAGATATGTCAAGTGAAATAATTCCTACTCCTTTTATTTCTACTTTCTTAACTTCTGATAGAGCACATTTGGCACTTTTTTGCAGCTCTTCTTCCAGCATACTCTAACCATCCAACATTACCTCAAAGCAGGTCCAAAGCCACATTCTAAGGAGCATTCTTTCTCACTCCTGCACAAATTCTTTAAAGACCTGCACTGAGTTGACAAATATAATTGAGAAATAGCCTCATAGTATTGGGTTTTGCCTGGAAGTCTCGCATGTACTGTAATGATATATGTTCCTGGGATTGTTGTGAAATCCATCCACCTGTAAATGAGGACTGTGGTATTTCCTGGTACTGTATCTATGGATTACAGTTTACATTGTTCAGAACCTGTATATTAGAACTTATGAATTTTAATATTACATATCATTATTTCTGATTATTTATTTCTTAATACTTTTAACAAATGAAAAACTTTTCTGTAATGAAAGTGAGGTATGAGCAAACCCCAAACTTTAAAATTTATTCTTACTTAATCTTATTTACACAATTTTGGAGCATTTGAACTTGTTTTCAAATTGTGTGTATGGTGCTGCAATATGATTGTTTGTTTGTTTTATTTTTCTATTGTATATTTAGTTCAAGCAGTAAGTCCCAGGATCAGCAATCTTACTGCTGCAGCTGCTGAGACCTGTGCCAATATCAGTTGGGCGTATGAGGGACCAGAGCATGTGAACTTTTATGTTGAATATGGTGTAGCAGGCAGTAAGAAACTATTTCATTACCCTGATTTTAATTTGGGGGACACTTTTCAAGAGATTAAGAACATTTCCAAGGATTTACTGTGGATTGTTTTGAAAAATAACTTGATCCTATAAATCAGTTATCTGAAAAAATTATAGCCGACTGTCAGTCTATATGTTTTATACATAATGAGGAGTGTCTTTTATCATGTTATGAATGACAAAGGGCATGAGCACTATTACATCTGTTGTTTTTCATACCAGTATTTAATATTGGTTCCAAAGTCACACATATAAATAAGAGTAATAACAAATAATTTGTAGGTACAGGTAGGAAAGAAGACATTTTTATTTTTTCAAATTGGATCTTAATGTAGCAGAAATAAAACTGCCTTGAAAGTATTCATTTTACCCAAACTAATCCAACAAAATTTTACAAGAAATTGCAGAAAATTAAAACTTTGTCTTAATGTTTGGATATATTCCCAAATTGGCATTCTGTTTCCATCCTGGCCACATCTACTGGGGGTGGCGACTTTCATATTCAGCAGTTTATTAAAGCCCAGTTGATTAAACCCAGTTTATTAAAATGCTTAATTCATTGTGCTCTGCATAATAATAAGCTAGATGGTCAATGAATATTTGGACAAAATTTTGTATTTAGTCCAACTTTCTGTTAAGCTTTTATCATACAAATAAATATTTTAAGAAATAACTATCCTCTCAGAAAAATCAATACTTGGGAAATGTTGAGTCTATAAATTGGACAAATTTGAAGGCATTTAATTTACTGAGAAATTCATCTTGTGAACCTTAAAAATTAATCCCTCCCATAGTTCATTTAACCTAGTTAATGAGTAACAGTTCTTTTTATAAACATTTCTAGAGAAGCTCAACAGTTTCATGAGGCAAAAAGCAGATAAGGAATCTCTCTTTGTATTAAAAAGAAGAATTAACACAATGGAAATATATGCAATTAATATGCAAACAAGGTATCCAGGAAATTTTTGAGGATATTTTCATGTAGGTCTTCTATTCATTCATTTAACATGATCAGATTTATAATAATCTAAAATGATAACTCTAAGCATCCTAGATTTTATCTTTAGCATGTAAAGATTT